TCTTTACTGAAAGTTAACAGTATGTTTATGACCTCCTAATCTACCAAGTCACTCTCCCCTTTCTGTTGTAACTTGATATATATGCAGTCTGCGGTTATACGCATCCACTCTGTGATATCTTGCTTTTGCGGTGTTCTTCTCCAGAATGGCAGTGACCTTGGGGGGGGGGAATGCAAGTCCCTGTTCAAACCTATCCTCAGAAGATTCCCTTCTTAAAGTGAAATACCTGTTAACTCTGTGGAAAGTTAACTCGACAAGAGACATGATCGGTAGAAACCGAGCTCCCTTTTCAACACATTATTAAATGTTTCAGAGAAGTTTGTAGTACATATCTCATATCAGCGACCAGCGTCGTGAATCAAAGACCACGTAGGAAACGTCACTTGGACATATACTCTATGGCCTTGGTACATGCCTGACCGATCGAACACAGATCAACTTGCAGTTTTCTTTTTTGCCTTTGGTACGCAGCAGCCTTGAACATATCTCTCATATCGTTGCTTCGTACGTGAGTCTTCAAGTTAGAAGCCATGTGACGAACACAAAACCGTTGATAGGCTCGCGGCTCGTTGAATCCAACGTTCGGATCATTAATTGCTGCAATGATCCTAGCATGTCGATCAAATATAACACAGAGGTCATCTCGTTGCGTGACATGAACTCGAATGCAGCCCAGAAACCAAGACCAGCTTGAAGTGTTCGTCCCTTTCAACCAACGCAAATGCTAGCGGAAATACTCGGAAGCTTGCATCCACACTTGTAGCAACCAACAGTGTTCCTTTATACTTCCCGTACAAGTGCGTCCCATCGATACAGATAACAGACATACAATGTTTAAAACCATCGATATAAGGACCGAAGGCCCAAAACACTCGTTCAAACACTTCCATGTTGCTATAGTAAAAACCATCCACCAGAGCTTTGTGTTTCCATACAACAATGGTTCTTGGGTTTGACTGTTGGAGTGCTTGCATGAAATGCGAAAGTCTTCCGTAAGAACTCTCCCAATCCCCAAATATTTCAGCTATAGCTTTCTCCTTGGCATACCATGTTCTTCGATACGGAATATCGAAATGAAATTTCTTGGAGATGAGATCCTGTATGAATTCAACTTTCAAGGACGGATCTTTCTACACAAAGGACTTCACATACTCAGATATTGGACGAATCCAAGTGTGGGTGATCAGTAGATACTACTTCAGTGACATAGTTCTCCCGGTGCAAGCCTTTGTATGCGACTAGGGTAAACCCACGCGAGTGCTCACTTGTTTTAGTACCCCGTAACGACCAACCACATTTCTTCTTGCATCGCAGATGAAGGACATTCTCATTCGAGGTCACTGTGGTGTAGAATTGATTCCTCTGTATAGAATACATCTTCACAATTTCTTGAAGCATTTTCTTACTTTCAAAAACATGCCCTTCTCAAATTCTCCCCCCGGAACAAACGATATATGGCTACCCGATTCGGCCAATACTGATCAACTTCATAGTTCTTGTTTATCATACTGAACCAAGGTATGGGAGTTCTAATCCATGTTGTCAAGTCCATCTTCCTCCTCTCCGCTCTCGGCCTCATCATTTATTTCCACATACACATCATACATAGACAATTCGTTATTCACAATATTTTCAAGATTTTCAAGATGATTTAGCATAGGTTGAGATGGTGATGCTTGAACATCATCTTGCATAGGTGAATAATTATGCAATTGCATCGGTGAAGGTTGGCCGGACATTGCCAAAGATGCCCCCCCATGTAAAGGTGAAGCTATACGAGAACTAACACTACTAGAAAACAGCTTGATTCCGACGGAAATATCCGTTGGAATCAGTCGAAATTCCGTCGGAAATTGGTCTTCCGACGGAATGCCGTCGGAATGTTCTGTCTCAAAATCCTTCGTAGGAAATTCGACCTTTAATTCCGTCGGAAGGCTAGTTTCCGACAGATTGATTTCTGTCAGCGCTTTTTTTTACTTTAATTGAAATTCCGTCGCAATTTTCTGACGGAAATTTTCGTCAGAATTGGAGAGGTTTCCATTTCCGTCGAAAGAGGTATATTCCGACGGAAAGTTCTGTCGGAAGAGGTATATTCCGACAGAAATTTCCATAGGAAAAGTCAATAAAAAAACAAAAAAAAAACAGCTAGCACCACCCCCGCCACCAGCCCACACCACCCACCACCACCACGTCCAACCCCTTTCCCACACCACCCACCACCACCACGTCCAACCCCTTTTCCCACACCACCCACCACCACCAGATCCAACTGAAAAACCCACCCACCAGCTTAACCCGTATCCCCTCCCCACCAGCCTAACCCGTATCCCCTCCTAACCACCCAAATACCCCCACCCACCTCGCCAGATCTATAAACCACCACGACCCACCTCGCCATTCCACACCCTCCCAAATCACCACCGAAACCACCCAAAACCACCACCGAAACCACCCTAAAAAACATCAAAAAAAAAAACATCAAAAAACCACCCAAAAAAAACCGAAGTAATTCAAAAAAATTTCAAAAAAAAAACGAAGTAATTCGAATTTTTTTTAAAAAAAACGAAGTAATTCGGAAAAAAAACCCAGAAATTTCAAAACAAAACCTAGAAATTCGGCTACAAAACCCAGAAATTTAGGCTTGTTCTTAAATGTTTCAAGCGAAACCCGAAAAAAAAAATAAGAGAAAGAGAATAGACAACTTACCTTGAATTCCATCAAAACCTCTAAATTGACTTGAATTTGGGTTTTAAAGGTCAAATTCGACCATGAAAACTCTATATCTAGGGTTTTCATGGTCGAATTTGACATGAAAAACCTTATTTTGTTCTTTGATGTTTCATGCTTGGGTGTTGCGATGCATGAAGAGAAATGAAGGAAGGAGAAGGAGAAGAGAGAGAAAGAGAGGGCGTAGGAAAGAGAAAGAGGGAGGAGAGAGAAAGAAAGAGGAGAGGAGTTTAGAGAGAAGAGGAAAGATAAGAGGAGGAGTTTAGAGAGAAGAGGAAAGACAAGAGGAGGAGTTTAGAGAGAAGAGGAAAGAGGAGAGGAGAGGAGAGAGAAAGAGAAGAGAGGCGGAGAATTAGAAGAGGAGAGGAGAGAGAAAAGAGAAATGAAGGGGGAGGGGGTGTTCCGGGTTTTTTGAAGGGTTATAAGGATTTTTTTTTTTAATTATATAATTATATTCCGACAGAAATTTCCGTCGGAAATCTAATATTCCGACGGAGATTTCCGACGGATTTTATTTCCGTCGGAAAATTTTATTCCGACGAAATATTCCGTCGAAAAGCCCATATATTTTGATGGATTTATATTCCGTCGGAAATTCCCAACGGATTTCCTACGGAATTAAAATCTGCCGGAATTTCTGATTTTTCCGACGGAAGTACGTGTCCGTCGGAAATCGGCCTATTTCTAGTAGTGTAAACGGCATGTGAAATTGATCGTCGTGCAGGACTCTACTGAAAGATCACATCCCATATTCATTTGATGGAATGTCGTGTGAGGGCATTTGCAAGGACTCTGTGTTGTAACCGGAAATATATGTAGCTTATTGTTCTGGCCGAGTACTTTGTTGGGTACATATAGGCATCATTTCTACATATATCTCAGTGGGAACACCCTTCATTGCCACGACGCTCCTCAAAGCTTTCAAATGTTTATCCGTAGAAAGTGAATACTTGAACCCCATTGATAATCTCAAACCTCATTTTAATGTTTAGTTGAATATTCATTGGGTTTGAACCAATACTACTATGAACCTCGTTCATCAAATCATTGAAAGTCATGTCCGGTTCAAGTGTTAGTGGTTCCATATTTCCTCCATTATACACGACATTTGGTCCAACAAACAAATTTCACCTCCCCACCGACATAACAAAACTACTTTTTGTGCAGCCATATTCTACATAATATCCAAAACACATTTAACTTAAAGACACTAAATCATCATAATTAAACAACAATGTAGACATACTTTGGAAATTACAACAACTTAGAAGCACTAAATCACCATAATCAAACAACAATGTAGACATACTTTTCAAATTACAACAACTTAGAAACCCTAAATCACCATTATTAAACAACAATGTAAGTTATCACAATTACTCAAAAACTAACAATTATCAACCATTATCAACACTATCAACAATTATCTACACTAACAATTCAACATTTTCAACAATTATCTACACTAACAATTCAACATTACCAACAATTATCAACACTAACAATTCAACATTATCAACACTAACATTCACAAAAAGTATCAACAATTATAAAAAAACCTAGATTTTAAAAACCTAAGAAAGAGGGGGCAAGTACCAAATTCAATAAGGAAGTGAAGAGAGGGGGCGTCCAGGCTGTCGGTGGCCGCTCGTCAGAGGGAGACGCCGGTGGGGGGGGGGGGGATTTCGATTGAGTGCGAGAGAGATTGAGTTAGTGAGGAAATTTGAGTGAGAGAGAGAGAAGCTGGGTCTGAAATGTATCAGCGATAAAACCGCAGACTGAGACAGCGTTGCATTAAACACTAAAAACGCTGGCTCAGTCAGCGTTTTAGTGCGTTTGAATTTATTTATTTTTTAACATTTTAAATATCAGAAATTACGAAATTTAAAAAAAACAAGTCAACATGTAAAACGCTGTCCGAGACAGCGTTTTACAAATTGAATTTTTTTTAAAAAAAACCAGGGTATAAAACATTGTCCGAAACAGCGTTTTACCCTATAAGCTTAGTTTGATAAATAATCTTGCCACGCATCTACTTTACAAAATTGTTTGTGAATAAAGCTTACTTTGGAAAAAATTCATAGTATCAAATCATAACTATTAGTGAAGCTGTCATAATAATGAAGTAGTGCAAGGCAACTTATCTAAGATAGAAACTTGTTTATGCTGGTGAAAGATATCCTGGCCTACCTTGTCGAAATTAGAATCAATAATGAAATACGACAATTAAGCAGACAATCAAGTAAAGAAATTTAATTAAAATAAAAAAATGGTGAAGTGAATACATGAATAAATATACGTGGTTCAGCTATTGTTTTGAAATTGGAAACAAAGTGGTCCATTCATAAAACTAATCATCCATTAATTAATTACTCACTAATTAAAACAATAGACAAACCTAATATCAAAATCCCAACCACCACCCAACCTATGATACCAAAAAATCAAGACAAGCGAGTGTTGTAGGTGCAATCGGAGTCGGAAATTGATCGCGTAGAGACGGAGATATTGAGATTACATGAGGCAGAAGAGACAACATGAATGTTTATAAACAGTAGCGTGACCTTGCCGGAGATACGTGTACGCGTGGTAAGCGGCAGAGTTCCGGCAAGCAGGTCGGAAATAACAGGCTGAGAGTTAGACAGTAATCGATCCGCCATAACAGTAAGAGTAAGGTTCATAGGCAGGGTCTCCCCAGCCGAGATCTGACCTGCGGGAATAGGAGCTTGTCCAACCATCTGACCCCTGTAATCTACAAAGGCGGAGCTATCTGAAAACTTGAGGCCGACTTTATTAGGATTCTTGACAGTAATGGAAGCATCAAGGGAAACGTTGAGGTGGACTTTCATTCTGAGGGCGTCAAAGGAAACGTCCATGTCATGGAGGGAGACGGACTTGACGGTGGTGACTGGGCGCTTGGCCTTAAACACGGTGGCTCCTAAGATTGAAAATAGCAACACCAACCCGATTACGACGCCCAACGCCACCAACCAACACCGTCTCCTCTTCCGCCGCTTCTCATCCATTTTTATTTTAATTTAATTACTGCTGCTGTTTGCTTTCTGTTTCTGTTTACTTCATTAATTTATATTCTGGAATTTCGGTATTTTCTGTTTCTGTTTGTGTTTCCAATTTCCAACTCAGACGCCTCTCCTTCTATAACGGCACTAAACACTTTCCTAACTTGTGTACGAAGTTGTGAGGACTTAATTGACTATTGTTGCCCAGAATGCCGACTTTTGCATTTCATTCTCTCCTTTCCTTTTATAACCTCCCACCTATATCACAAATTATTTTTTATACATCAGGAATACAACTGAACTAGTCTAGGCTATAGCTTCTAGAAAAGCCCCAACATAATGCATCTTTATTTACTCCCTTCCGTTTGTTCGGAGTATTACACTTCAATCCGCATATGATTATAGACAAAACACAATTAATTAACTTCATTATAAACATATATAAGTATGATAGTTGGATTCTAAATAATTATAAGAAAATTTAGTGGGATTAATATTTTATTTTAAAGCAAAAAAAAAAAAAAAAAAAAAAAAAAAAAAAAAAAAAAAAAGAGGGTTTCAGATGTCCGATTATACAAACCGAATTCAGAGTCTAAATAAGTAAGCCGGATCGGACTCGAACTCGGACCAATCGGATTGGGATCAAGTCCAAGGTTCGTTTATTAAATGGACCGGATTCCCATTTGGCTCTATCCGACCCGAGTCTGATTCATTGCCAATCCTAACAATTCTTCCTTATCTCTGCCTAGAGATGAAAGTTCGGTGTACAATTTGGATTGTAGCCCAAAACGTATTAATTCGGTTTGGGGTTTTCTTAAAAAAATCCAAATCGTTTTACTACTCGGTTCAATCCAATCCAAGCCATTTTCTATTTTTTTTTTAAAAATAAACCAAATCCGAAATTTTGGACCTAATGTTTTTGGCTTGATTTTTCACATGTTTCCTGTATATTTTTTTTTTAAAAAAAAAAAACATTTTATTTGCACCTAAACATCAAATGATTAGAATGTCATGTCTTAACAAATAACAAATCCTATTAAAGTCTTACAAGGCCTATAAGTTGGCCAATGGCAGCAATTAACATAAAAAAAGTTCAACTATTCCCATCCTCCTTAGACCACTCTCAATGGTGAGCAAAAAAAATGCTCACCCACTCTCTCTCTACCCACTTTCTCTCTCAACAAATCAATTTTGCTCATGGGCAAATCTTTTTCACATTTTCTCTCCCAATGGTGAGCAAAAAAAAATGCCCACCCACCACTCTCTCTCTCTTACTTTTTCAATACCCCACCATTACTTTCTCTCTCCTACACAACACTTCTTTATTTATTTATTTCATTTATATTTTAACAATGTTACTCCAAATTTAACAATGTTACTCCAAATAAATAAAAACTAGTTTAAATTTGTGTAACTTATTTTTTTATTTTTGTCTTTTTTATCGTTAAAATTTGTCGTAAAATTACGTACGGTATATAAAAAAATTGTAAAAAAAAGCTCAAAATTTGTTAAATGTTTTTATTTATTATAAAAGCGGTACAATACTAGAAACCAATTACATTTGCAACGTCATGCGTAATTAAACTTAGGAAATAAAATAAACACAACAACTAAAAAATAACTCGACTGCGTACGGAAAAGTAGCTATGCCATAGTACTTGGCTTTATTTAAGTCGTCTAATTTCTCCCTAATCACGTGGCCCGTATCGTTGCCAAATATGTTCGACTAAATCACGTTTCAGAGATAGATGAATTTCTCTGTCACGGAGGGTAGCTTTTCGTTGTAGAAATGCGTTGAAGTCAAAGTTGGTAGGTCGGCCTACGTTGAATTCAAACGGTGGCGTTGTAGATGTTGATGCTGGTGTTGATTCTTGTTGCTCTTCTTCGTAGAAGGCTCTCAGAACTTCGGCTCGAGTGTAGTTGTGGCGCTCATCTTCAACAATCATGTTGTGCATAATGATACATGCTTTCATTATGTCCCGCAGTATGTCCTCGTCGTACGCCAGCGACGGTTTGCGTATTATTGCAAATCGAGCTTGTAAAACACCGAAAGCTCTTTCAACGTCCTTTCGAGCGGCAGCCTGGTGGTCAGCGAACATTTTATCTTTAGCCAGTTGAGGGAATGTGATACCCTGAACAAAAGTTGCCCACTTCGGATAAATGCCGTCGGCTAAGTAATAAGCCATGTTGTATTCATGGCCGTTAACTGTAAAATTTACCAGAGGAGCTCGACCATGCAGAACCTCATCGAACACTGGTGAACGGTACAACACATTAAGATCATTACAAGATCCGGGAATACCAAAGAAGGAATGCCATATCCATAAATCCTGATCCGCAACGGCTTCCAGTATTAGCGTTGCTTTCTTGTTCCTACCGGCGTACTGCGCTTTCCAAGCCGTTGGACAGTTCTTCCACTCCCAATGCATGCAATCAATGCTGCCTATCATGCCTGGAAAACCACGCAGTTCATTTTGATGCAGTATCCGGGCCAGTTCATCAGTTGTAGGGTTTCGCATGTACTCGGTTCCGAACTGATCAATGACCCCGGCACAAAAACGTTGTAGGGCAACTCGAGCGGTTGACTGACTAATTCGAACGTATTCATCAACGGCATCTGCAGCCATGCCGTAGGCTAACATTCTTATCGCGGCTGTACATTTTTGCAGAGGTGATAAGCCTAACCTTCCAGTTGCATCCCTACGCTGCTGGAAGTAAACATCACCTTCAACGACCTTGTTCATTATGCGTAAAAACAAAGGTCGTTGCATACGAAATCTTCTTCTAAATTGGGTGGTGTTGTACACAGGATTATCGGAAAAATAATCATTAAACAGCCTGGCATGTCCCATTTCCCTATCTCTTCTGTTCGTACCCCCTCTACGTGTTTTTGAAGTACGTTGGGATTGTGTTTGGGGCATGAGGAAAGATGGGGGTTGGTATGTGAAGAGTTCATCAACAAGTTGATCACATTCTTCATTATTGGAAGAAGATGAACTTGAACTTGAACTTGATGATGGTCTGGAATACATCATGTATTAATATTGTAATTTTCTGAATTGGTGTGGTTGTGGATATGTGCCATGCCTACTATATATAGCAACTATATCAAATGAATAAGTGGTTATAAATCTGAATGACCACACCGACTAAAACAATCAAATTTTCAACCACGCAATTATGTCGGTATCAATGACCCAACGTTAAAGCATACTGACAAAGTTAATTCAGAAAAATGTGACTACACAATGACAAAAAAGTGACTACTCAATGACAACAATTGAATGCAACTATGTCGGTATGAATGAGCCAAAGTTAAAGTGAAATCAGAAAAAAAAAAGTGACTACTCAATGACAACAATTGAATGCAACTATGTCGGTAACAATGACAACTGAAACCAACTTGTTAAACAACTTGTCATTCAATATTGGAAAATCAGAATACAAGCTTACATATCACATTGAAATAAAACACACCACTAATACAAGTTAAACGTAAAAGACTACATTGCGCATAATTAAAAACTTAATTAATACAAGCCTACACCTACTACAACCAAACATGCTTACAAGCCCTGTAATTTACCCAACAAAAAATTCTTGTACGACTCTTCTTCAGGAGTGAGTGGCGTAGGCGAATTCTTCAGAGCTTGCAGAATATCAAACCAGGTTTTCATTTTATGAAAGTCAAGTTCCTCCCGTTTCCTCTGTTCCTTGTCCTTTTCAATTTTGATCCTCTCTTCCTTCAGAATGGCCTCCCTCTCGCGAATTGTAGCAAATTCCTTCATTCGTTCGCTAAGCTCAGACGAACCACTTTCTGAAGCTACTTCTTTCCCTTTACGCTTGGCCTTTGCTTTCTTCACACCTTCGGGTCTTTGTATTCCTCCAGATGAAAAACCATCAATAGGGGTTTCATCCCCTCCATCGTCTCTGGACCTCTTCCCACTTCCAGCACTACCTTGCTCCTCAACATCACGAACAGCTTTTCTTTCCTCCTTTGACAAGGACCACCTCAGCTTCGGCCTCCAATTTGGATCTTTATTAAGCATTTCAACCGCGTGAAGAAAAGCGAAATTACGACCTTGGGCGAGATGAAAAAGCTTCGACGCACTTTTTATTCGGTCAGCTTCGTTGTAACCACTCCCTCCCTCCGGAAGTCTACCTGCTTCATCATAGCAAGATATCCACTGTAGTGTGTCTGCTGCCAACCTTCTTCAGTGCGACGTCAGACTCTTCATAGGTCTTGGCGGAATTATATTCGGCTTCTCCGCATGGGCACTTTGATATGCTGCGTGTACATCGCGCCAAAGGGAAGTTGCTTTCTGGCTCGTGCCTTTAATAGCATTCTCGCTGATCTCCAAGTACAACCCAATCAGAGTTTCATCTTCCGCAACTGACCAAATTCGAGTCGGTCGTGCAACAACCTGGTTGGATTGCAGTTCGGGAACTGGTGGAGGATATTGCGGCGTCTCTGGTACGCTGTCCTCTTCGCTCTCATTGAATTGTGTGTTGCTATCATGTACAGTTTCAGGTGTACATTCTTCAATAACATGGTTTCGTAGGGGAAACTGAGTGGGTGTCTGATACTGTGGAGATGGTTGCAAAGACGTATTGCCCATTCTTTGCAAGAACAATTGAAACTTGGGATTAGTTAGCAAATCATCACTAAAACCAGAAAATTGTTGGCGGAAATTTGGGTTGTTTGGATCCATTAAAAGATTCTGCATCACAAAACAAAAGATAAATATTTGTACTAAAATTTACTAATTTTTTACAAAAGATAATTTTTTTTTTTCACATAATCACATATATACTAATTTTAATACATAACTAAATTTATATATTAAAAAAAAAATTAACCAATAATTGGAAGACTTTATTAACTACGAATTTAGTAATGTTTGAATTTAGTAATGTATGGAGAAAACACACATATACTAATTTTAATACATAACTAAATTTATATATTAGAAAAAAAAAAGTAACCAATAAATGCAACACTTTTGCAACTACAAATTTAGTAATGTATGGAGAAAATATCAACAACTTTCTTCAATTACATAATGCAATTAAACAACATGGTTTTCAATATTTTTTTTTTCAAAAAAACACACATATAATAATTTTAATACATAACTAAATTTATATATTAGAAAAAAAAGCAAATATATCAAATAAATGCAACACTTTTTTTACTACAAATTTAGTAATGTATGGAGAAAATATCAACAACTTTCTTCAATTGGGTTTTTCAATTAAGTAAACATGGCATATAATATTTTTTTTTCAAAAAAACACACATATACTAATTTTAATACATAACTTAATATTACAAAAAAAAAAAAAAGTAACCAATAAATGCAACACTTTTTTTACTACAAATTTAGTAATGTATGGAGAACATATCAACAACTTTCTTCAATTACATAATGCAATTAAACAACATATATTTTTTTTTCAATTACATAATGCAATTACATAATATTTTTTTTTTCAAAAAATCACATATATATTAATTTTATTACATAACTTTATTTAAATAATAAAAAAAAAAAAAAATTACCTCAATATGGGTGTGTTGCAACAAAAATGCTCTTCAACAAATTTAAAATGCTTAAGAAAATAAAAAAGTGGAGGATTTTAAGTGATTTCGAAAATATATCAAAATATATCAAAATGCATGTCTATTTATAGAGAATTTAATTTTATGACCGTTGGTAATTTTTTTTTTTTTTTTTTACCAAAAATATTTTTCAGAAAATGCATTACAAACAATATTACCGTTGTAAAACGGCTAATTTTTCCATTGGCCAAGCTCCTGCAGGACGCCACGTGTCGCGCGCCTATTCGCTGGCTTACTGACGCGAACAGTAGCCTTTTTTATTTATTTATTTTTTTTTTAGCGTCAAAACGACGCGTTTTGGCCAGCACAAGCCCAAAACGCGTCGTTTTGATGGGTTGGCAGCCAAATTTTTTTAAGCTGATTTGCAACGTGTGGGCCCCACTTCCAGCACTGTTCATCTATTAAAATGCCCATACTTTGGGCATTTTCATTTATGCCCATGGGCTTTTTCTTGATTTTTTGTATTTGCTCACTATTGTGGGTGATGAGCATATTTTTTGCTCACAAAATATGCCCATGAGTAAATATTTTGCTCATGGTTGTGAGTGCTCTTAATTCCCATTTTTTTGAGAAATAGGCTTGTAATTAAGGGACGGAGAGAGTAATACAACACAACATAAAATATGAGATGAGTTATGTACGAGGTTTGTTTATGAAAGATTGACTTAAGCCTAATAGGGCCTACATGTCAAGTTTATTTTGGCCCATTGTAAGATTAAGCTATTTAAATATTAGACACGCAAACACGACATATGGATCTGTATGTGTATGGTGGCTGGCTGCGGCCCAACCCTGTAATGATGGTTGGTAGCAGGAGAGAAAAATAGAAGAATCGCGGGAAAGACGGGAAGTCGAAGCCGTAGTGACATGGGATTAGTTGAATGATTAGTCCCTTTGGAATAAAAGGACGGAAGAAGAGAAGGAGATGTGGATGTAAGCAGTCCTAACTCCTAAGCACATTGGGCTTAGTTGTAATTGGGATGTCTGTCAGACGTAGTCCGATTCACTTAATAATTCATCAATCATTAAAATCATAATTGAGAAGACAAGAGAAAGAAATTAAAAGAAAAATTAGATTCCTATATTTCGAGTGTTTTAGAAGGCAAACGAAACCGCAGGCAGGTACATTAATTGCTGAGTCTTGCACTCCTCCTTTTTTCTCCATTATTCCGGAGGAAAGTGTCTGACTTGGTTTTTTTAGTCACGGAATACATATTTCTTTCGACACTTTACTATTTCTGTGTATTTTGAATTAAGATATAGCAGATTTATTTCCATAAAACCCAAACAAACCCCAGTTGATTTGAATGTTTGAGAATTTGTGTAGATTCCGAGATTGAATTCTCCAGATTGGGATTTGATATCAAATCAAAGAATGAAGATGAGAGTGTTGTTGACACAAGTTTTGATGGGGACGGAAGGAGGAGGGCAATCTATGTTGTCCACCATCAAAATTGCCGTCCTTCCCATAGTAAAGGTGTTTACCATGTGTTTCCTGGGATTTCTAATGGCCTCTAAGCATGTCAATATCCTTCCTTCTAATGGCCGCAAATTGCTCAACGGGGTCGGTATTATTCTCACTTACTATTTCATTCTGGGTTTAATTTTCATCGTATTACTGATTTTCTGTTTCTGATTGCAGCTCGTTTTTACTCTGTTGCTCCCCTGTTTGATATTCTCCCAATTAGGCCAAGCTATTACTCTCCAGAAAGTGCTTGAATGGTCAGATACATAATTGTTCAATTCTTCAACTTTTGTCAATTTGTACTATTATTTAATCTAATCTACTTACGCCCTCCTTATGCAGGTGGTTCATCCCTTTCAATGTTATCCTCGCTACTATTTCCGGCTCACTCATCGGCCTACTCGTCGCCACCATTATCCGCCCTCCATACCCCTTCTTTAAGTTCACGGTTGTGCATATTGGAATTGGAAATATTGGCAATGTACCCCTTGTCTTGATTGCTGCTTTGTGTAGAGATAAATCTAATCCTTTTGGCGATTCAGACAAGTGCAGTCAAGATGGAACTGCCTATATTTCATTTGGCCAGTGGGTATGTGTTTTTTTTTTTTTTTTTTTTTTTTTTTATTTATTTATTTTTAAATTTGTGCTCAATCAATGCTCTTGTACAAGATTTGTTGTGCACACATGCTGGACTTACTTCCTGAATAGCTGCATTTAGCCTGTAGTTTAATAATTAAATTTTCCAGGAATTCAATTGTTCAAAAATTTTTTATACTTGTTTGTCAGATAGATCTCTGTGAAGGAATATACTGATGTTTATGATAATTTCCATTTGTTATTGCATATGTATTTTTTTTTTTTGTAAAGCATTACACCTTGTAGTTTATCTGATAACTTAATGCGTTCCATAGACAATACGAAAGAACTTTTCAAAGGCTGAACTGATTATATTGGATTGTTTTTAAAATACAACTATGTTAGCTATTGCTTATATGATACCAGTCCAGAATTATAGAAGTGATAGTGATCCCATATTTCCCTTCAGCTTTACTTGTATTTCTTCACTGAAGTGATAGTGATCCTAAGTGTTACCTTATTTCTTTTCAGCGCCTTTTCAAATTCTTAATTCTAGCCGTTTTCCTTGTTTTCCAGGTTGGTGCAATTGTCCTGTATACATATGTATTCCAAATGCTGGCACCCCCTCCTGAAGGTACCTTTGATGTTGAAGATGGACATCTTCCAATCAAAAGTCAACAGCACAGTGGAAGTGAAACACCAGAACAAGTTCCTTTGCTTCCTCAAGGTCCAGGGCCATTGACATCACATGTGTCACAGAAAGGAAAGGCAAGAGTCTTTCTACTTTTCCTATATTTTCATAGTTGTAACTCTTTGTGTTTAGCACTTTAACACAGTGATTGTTTGTTTACTGAGAGAAGTTAATGTACCTGCTTCACCTACATTTATACGACTGATTCCATTCTCTTAATCATATGTTTGTTCAATATATTTCCTCCTTTCCTCTGTCTTTCATTGATTTATGTTAAATAGTTTGTTGACTTAAGTCTCAACGACTACCACTCTCCACTTATTGTCTATTGCTTTAATCATTTACCAATACGGATATCAAATCTTTTTAATGTTTGCACTATTTATGGCAATTAAACTGTGAATTTGGTGTTGACAATCAGGCTATAATCATTAAGAACTTGAATTTGTGAAGAACTTTTAATCATGCTGAAATTCTGTTTGCCCTTAGCTCATAATCTTGACTTGCTAATATGTATAGAACTTGTGCTTGTTTTTTTTCTGAATTCCAGCTTTATTTTAGGTAAAATCTTCTCAAATAATTGAGGGGTTTATAATCTTAACTTTATAAGTCAGCAAGCTACTTTGAAAAGGGTAGCTAAACCCTTTTCAGAAGTGCCTAGATAAATTGGGATTGGATTGTTGAATCCACTAAACCTTTTTGGCTGCTAATAAGTGATAACTCAAGTCTTTGGGTCTCTTTAGGTTCTCTTTAGTAAACCTGTGCTAAGAATACATAACTAATCTTCCTATCAAGTTTGTATATTTAGAAATGCAGACTTCAATTTATAGTCTCTGAATACTGCTTGAGTGTTCACCTTTGATGGTGCCCATGGTGGAAGTGAAGTTTTTTTTTTTTGGATAGGGCATGTTCGGAATGGGGAAATTTTTTAGGGGTTAATTGAGCCGTGAACTTGTGGTAGATGGGATGAATTAGTGGTGATTGAAGGAGGAGGAAGAGATGAGGAATTTTTATATCCTCATTTAGGGGGTAAATCTCTAAGGAATGGTGAATAGGGGTGGATGTGAGCGGAGTTAAGCGGAGCCTTCAGTTTTATTGAACCAAGAACTTAAACCACATAGATGAGCTCGAACTCAGTTTGAAGGGTATGGTAGAATTAGGGTATGTCCATCCCTAGCGGTGGGGATATGTTACTTTCATTTAAAGGTAACAATGTCCCCATGGGCCCCACCTCATCCTCCTTTTGAAACCATCTCCATCTCCATCCATCTTCCATCTCTTAATTTGTCATCCTGTAATTTCATTTTCATCCTTTTCTATCGCTTTGCAGAGATAGTAATGCGCACCATTCTGATTATGCATGTGTCAAAAATTATGCACGGGAGGACTACAATTCTCTCGCATGCTAGTGAGTATCTAGTCTCGTGTCTCTATGATAATATCTGATATCCAATTGTATACAAAATTTACATTTTTTCTTTCACATGCATTTTTTCTTCTTCCCTAACACAGTTATCCTGATCTACTTGACTGATGGGATGACTGTCTCAGCATTCGTTTTGAATCAGTAACTGAGAGTACGGGTTAGTTATCTATACAATCTGTTGAATCACAAAGGAAGGACAAGTGCTTGTGGACAACTATCATAAGTCCAAATGCAAGAATTGTAACTGAAAAAAAAAAAAATTGGTGGCAGTGACTGTGGAGGACTTAGGGAGGGGGGGGGGGGGTTGGGAATTATGACACCCGATTTTTACTCAGATTGCTAAAAATTATAAGTAATACAAATGATGAAGATTTACTTATCACCTATATTTAAAGTTGACTCAGTATTGTCTCCCAGATACTGGGAGATGACTGCTTGTTTTCTTTTATTCAAAAAAAGTAATGCTCATTTAATTTAGGAGTGCAATTTAGTGTTCATCCATCTGAATTTAGGAGATGCATCTGCAAACAAAGTCTACAGTCACGGTACTCTCTCTATTTGTACTAAGCTTCAATCCGTTTGATGCAGGTCAAGGAGTTCCTGTTGTTCATATATGATAAATTAAAGCTCAAACAGCTCATACAGCCTCCTATTATTGCTTCTGTAAGTATATGATACCCATCTGCCTACATTAAGTATTTAACTTGCAAATGTTGGTCATTGTTGTGCATCAACGTGTCCCCCCTCCCCCTCTCCCACCCTTTCACTTACACGTGCGTGTCAAATGTAAAAGTGTAATTCATGCTTAGTAATCAATGGAAATGACTACCTCGTGGAATAATACTAATATGTCAGCAAAATTCAATTTGATGTTATATTCTGATATTTTTGTCACTAGAACTTATTTACTGTTTGTCGATCATGAAATTAAGTCTGAGGTCCCTCATAGAGTCATTTCAGGAGGGTAGCTGGAAATTGCTGACTTTTTGGGACAGTGGGACTACATGAGTCCAAGTGGTTAACAAAATTTTATAACAGAATGATAAATGACGTGAATTTTTTCAATTGAACTTCCCTATCTATAAGTGCAGCCAATAAATAATCCATGACAACCTGATCAACAAGTAAAATGCCAAGTTCATCCTCATGCAAAGAGAAGATTTGTGCTTTTAGTACCTTATACAATTGATAAACCCCAATTATTGTCTGCTGGAATAGCAGCCACTTCCATAGACAACGCCAGCTTATCAATAACTACTGAAACATAAGAAATAAAGAAATAGCATAGCTATAATGGAAAGTGCCATAGACAATCCATGCACATTGGCTCTTAGCATATCAATTTAGCTGGTTTACCTATACGCCTCACTTCATCAACTCAATATCACAAAGGGCCTTTATGTGATTGAATAGTGGTTGTAAAGGGTTCCAAACAACATTTTATGACCTCTGGATGCATCCTCCACCACCACTTGAGTTTTCTATATGGGGTCTCAAAATTTTCAAAAATGGTTCAATTTCGTGTATTATAGCCTTTAGATTTAGCCTGTAGAGAACATTTTCAAACCTACTAGGTTAGGCATCGTGGTTTTTCCTAGGTTCCCTACTTAGACTACTTGCCTTTATATGACCGACTAATGACCATATATGGTTCCAAACAAATTTTATGACCCCAAGATGCATTCTCTACCATCAATTGAATTATTGACACCGGGTCGTGAAATCTTGTTCAATTTCATTTATTTAGCCTTTAAATTTGGTATCCGGAGAACATTTTCAGATCTAGCAAGGGTAAGCATCGAGGTGTTTCTTGGAATTCCCAAAGGACCTCAAGAGGCCTACTTAATGCCTGGAACCTTTTAATTCATGCCTTGGCCCATGACTTTGCCTTCTTCGTAATCATGTCTTAAGATGCATGCCATGCCTTAAAGAGGGGCTCTTTTGGGTCTCATTTACCGCGCGGTTCCTTTTGTTTCTAATTTTGCCTTCTATCTCCAACGTCTTGGTATTGGATCCACGCTTCTATTAGCACAAATATGAGGACCCTTCTATAATATCCAGGAACGATTTTAAAGGCAAAGTAACTTTGTGAGTTACGATTCCTCTTTCTATTGAAGGTAGTTAAAATACTCTAGAAGATTAACAATCTCTTCATGCTAAAAGAAGGATGACCTTCTTTATAGGTCATCGAGCAAATCGTTAAGGCCTTAAGGGGCCAGGGCCTTACCATGACTTGCCTTGTCTAGTCTTGGCCATGCCTGGCCATAAGGCAAGCCAAGATGCAACCTTCTATTGTTATAAGTAGGTGTTTTATGCCTTGTCCTCATACTCATTCCCTGTGTTCGTGTATGCCTCAGTCTTGGCCATGATAGCAGCAACATTAGTAGCGCCTAAGGTCCTTGTGCCTTGGCCCTCATACATAATAATTTCTTTCACACATATGGCACAATGCTACCCTTTTCTAGCTAATTATAGTTGGTTTTAGGGGGACGAATTGAAATGATATATTGCTAAATCTTAATAGATCGTGCGCCGTGTATTTTATTCCGATAACTTCCTTTATATAGGGTTATTCGACTAACACAAACCCTAATAAAAACTAAAGATAATGCCAATAATAATAAAAATAATACTATCCCATATAATTAATAATAATGTCAATGAACCTGTGTAATATACCAAATGTAATGTCGACCTGCTTATAAACTACTCCCAATATCTAAAAGATCAGACTAAATTAGTTATCTTGAGTCTCTTTATTGCATCCACACCAAAACTTGGCAAGATTGTCGTATACATAAAAATGTTAGTATTTCTGCTCAACCATAGACACACATGCCCACACACATCTACACAAGCAAACAAACAATCAAAAACTTGGGTATGTTACTCCTTAATCCCAAAAATTGGGTGTTCTTAGTTTGTTTATTTTGGATTGTAATTTTTTTACTCCCTCTGTCCTTTTATTATAAGCCTGTGTTTCATTTTGGGTAATCAAAATTAAGAGTCTATTTCTATTTAAAGGTTGTTTTTTTTTTTTTTACAATATTATTTTCTTTTTGATGATTTGTCATCTTTTTACTTTTTCTTTTTCGTACTTTTGACATCAATTCCCAATACTTTCTCTCTCCCTCCCATCAATAATTTTCAACCACTTTTTCTTTCTCTCTATCTCTCTCTAACCCCACATGCATATTTGTACTCACAATTACTCCCTCCGTCACACAATACAAAGCCTGCATTCCTTTTTGGGTAAACCAAAATACAAAGCCTATTTCTATTTAGAGGTAGTACTTTTTGAGAATATTACCCTCTTTTTAATGAGTTGTCATTCTTTTTTCTTTTTCTTTTTGTACTAATGATGTCTTTTGACATCAATTCCCAACACTTTCTCTCTACATCTCTTCAACAATTCCCAGCTATTTTTTCTTTCTCTCTATCTCTCTTTAACCCCACATGCACATATGTACTCTCAATCGTTGAGTTTAAGGAATCTCCATCCTCCTTAATTCCCGTGAAAAAAACCAAATAGGCTTTGTATTGTGTGACGGAGGGATTATTAGTTGTAAGAAATCAACAACTTTCTTAATTCCCGTGGAAAAACCCAAATAGGCTCATAATAAAAGGACGGAGGGAGTATTTTTTATTTTCCCTCAAGAGTTGTTTGGTCATATTTCTTGTTGAGGTTTTTTAAATATTATTTTTATGCTGCAGGTTTTAGCAATTGCATTTGGATGTGTGCCTTTCTTGAAAAGTTTAATCTTTACAAGTGATGCTCCTCTATATTTTTTCACTGACAGCTGCATGATTCTTGGGTAAGCTTGCTAATCTCTTTTATATTATTTTCAAGGAAAATTTATTGGTATGATAATATCAGCTTCATATTTTTATTGATTGGAGATTGTTCTATAATTAGTTCCACATTTGATCCCGCCCCCCCCCCCCCCTTTCCCCTTCTTCTTAATATGTATCATGGAATAGTAAGCAATGAAACTAAAAATAAAACCTCTGAATATCTCAGTGACTGGAATTTAGCCTATAATAAAGGTGTCAAAATGAATATGTATTGCAGCTCCTAACAATCACTCAAGAAAAGTTGATGCTCTTTATAAAATAATAGGGGCTTGTTAGTTGTTACACAAAAAATCTTACATTTGATTTTTTTTATTTTTTTGGTTATAGGGACGCTATGATTCCATGCATTTTGTTGGCATTGGGAGGCAACCTTGTGGACGGTAAGCTAACTTTTTGCAAGTTTTGCATTTTGCTGATCATTTTCTTACTGGTTGTTCTAAGGACGGGTTGATCAGACCTGAGTTGATGTGTTGTTACATGCAGGACCTGGAAGTTCAAAACTTGGTTTTAGGACAACTGCTGCAATTATTTTTGGGCGGTTGGTGTTGGTCCCCCCAGCAGGGCTTGGCATAGTGACTCTGGCTGATAAGTTGGGCTTCCTTCCTGCTGGTGACAAGATGTTCAAATTCGTGCTTCTCCTTCAGCACACAATGCCTACTTCTGTACTTTCAGGTACTTTTTTTAACAATTTTTAGCACAGTACATTACAGCAGTTGTTTATCATTTATCAGTAGTGACAGAAAATCTTACTGCCACACTTGTTAGTTTATTGATTTGTTAGTGGTCATGCCTATATTCTCAATGTTTTGTAGGTGCTGTGGCGAACTTGAGAGGATGTGGGAGGGAATCGGCTGCAATACTGTTCTGGGTTCATATATTTGCAATTTTTTCAATGGCTGGGTGGATTGTGCTATACATTCACTTACTCTTCTGAGAATTCAAGATGTCTTTTTTTGCCGAATGCTATTATTTTTGACATCAACTTAATTGGAGAGTTGTGATAATATATGCCTTGTACAACTAAATTTACAAGTCTAGTTGGATCCATCCGGGATCGCTGGAAACAGCAAAAAGAGAAGACCTTGTTCATTGTTCAGATGATGCTGGCTGCTAATGGTTTTGGAGAAGCAGCTTTGTACATATGATGCTGGTCATGCCTATGTACACTTTAGCTCAATTATTTGTGGTTATAAGAATTTTGATTAATTGAGTAAAGTTCATACAGTATATGGGGGTACTAGCTTATTATATTTTATTTTTATATTGAACAAAAATCAATTTATCAATGCTTTACTCTTCTGATCCTTAGTTGCTAATTATACTCACTTTTATAATCAAAGTTAATGTTTTATTGATATAAAGATATTTTAATAATTGATTTATACTCCGTATACTAGTACTAGTAATACAAATTCTCAAGCCACAATTTTCTGTATGTCTCATGTATCCCCACTTTAACAAAGAAATGGCTGTTAAGTCTTCTCTTCTTTTTTTTTTTTTTTTTTTTTTTTTTTTTTTTTTTCAGTCTTTTAGCGGCTATAAAGTTGGTCATTTGGAGTCTCATCATAAATGTATTCCTTCAATAAGTATCAATGTATCATACATTTTCTAAATGCCTAAATTTTGCAAGCTGTGATTTTGTTACAGAAATAATCATAGCTATTAGATAGTGCATGTGAGGAGTGCTGTGGGCATGCAAATGTCTTTTCATACATTACAGTATAACATCTATTCCTTGTGCTGTTGTGACTTGTGAGGCCATAGGCATGTAAATGTCTTTTTTTTTTTTTTTTTTAAACAAGAGGTAAAACATAGACTTAAGCAAGCCCAACCGAGAGTGCATGAATGTAATTATCAAATCTTTTTCAGGTTCATTTATTTATATCTATATTCAGTATATTGGAAGGATAACATGTATGACTGTATGACAAACCCTTAAAATTGAGGTCATGTATTCAAGTTTGAAAGAAAAATATAATCTGGATGTAGATAGTGCCACATGACACATGAACAATGATCAACCCTAACGAAAAATGGAAGCAATGCCCGGGTTTCTTGAGTAAAATAAAGAAATCAGATAGTTTCAAGCTACAGAGCAAATCTATCTTCTATACAAAGACCCTATACAATCAGCAAAATCATTATTTTACAGAACCCTTTCTGTGGTTTTGAAGGCTCAGACAGACAGACTAAAAGTTGCATTAGCAACCGTTGATTCAAAACCTGATGACTCTGAGAACTGAAGCGTTGAATCCTACAATGACAATTATGGCAGTAGTATCCCATTCTTACAGTTATGGACAAGAGCAGAAGCAGTAGCTTTCAGCATCTTTTATACTCCGCATGATTAAAACCACCACCACCACCTCTTTTCCCGCTCGTTGCGGGATCCTGAACCAGAAGGTTGGATGGGTTGTGGAGGCCAACCATTTGAATTAGTTTGCCCATTTGACCTTCCTGCTAGAGAATTGCCCAACCAAAGCACCAAGACAATACCCGCTAGGCCAACTATAGGAGCGGCTGCCGAGAATAACCACCCTCCCCTCCTACCATTGGTATGTGAAAAAATTGCCCGAGGACCTACATCACCCAATGCAGCAACAAAATCTTGAGATTCACCCATTTCACTTGTATCAGTGGCAACTGACACATCATCCCTACCCTCCTGCTGCTGGATTTCAGAAATAAACATTCTATGGCTAGCGTGGCGCTTGCCTCGCTCATAATCTCTGTCATCGGTTGGGAGTTCATATCGACAAAGGGGGCAAGAATTCCTTGCACTCAACCACGGCAATATACAGGATGGATGGTATAGGTGAAAGCAGGGCAGCTGATTCACTTCAGTGCCAATCATCAGCAAATCTTTACAGATTGCACAAGCTAAGCCATCAGATTTCAGATGCTCATCAGTAATGACTACGAGGGGCAGTTTATCAATGAAAGACACAGCTGCAGGAGGTGCTCCTCTTCTTGCATTATCAGTCTCGGTAAGATGATCCAAAAATTCTTCAAATACTAAAGAATCAAGATAACCTGCAGGATCACCACTATATGGTGCTTCACCAAATACTTCCATGCTTGCAGGGATGCTGGGAATCTGGAGGTCCCTAACTTCCCTAATTCTCCGGCGAATCATCCCCTCAAACTCAGAAGAATCTGTTCTACTATGTTCAACAAAATAATCATTGCCGGCATTTGAGTCAATATGAGCTCCAATTTCACGAGGGCTAACTGTATTCTCCTCAGCATCAACTTCTTCCCACTCACCATCTTCTACTTCATCCTCATCAGAATTCCAGAGCACAATACCAGCATGCATTGGATCAATATCAGTGTCACTGTCAACATCACTTCTATCCATAGATTGGACATATAAGTCTATGTCAAAGTATGTATGGCCATCAATTGAAACACCAGAGTCACCTTCATAAGTACTAAAAGACAGAGCATCACTATCACTATGATAAATCCTGTGTCCACCAACGCTGACATTAGATTCACTCTCTCCATAAAACGAATCAGAGTTGAATCCTTCACTTCCTGTATCAGAAAATAGTCTCCGCCATCTACTAGAACCATTAGGTGTTGTATTAGAACTAGCCGGCTGCAGTACCATCACATTAGGATCGGTATCTCCATGAACATCTTCATGCTCAGGCTCAGTAAGTCTTGCTAGGTTAATTATTTGTGAGAACTGTTGTGAGAAATTTTCAATCGCCTCAGAACTTCCATTAATTGACCTTCCTCCAGGGACCCTTCTTCGAAGAGAGTTGTGTGCTGGGGTGCCAAAATCTTCAACCAGCAAAAATTTACAGTCATCACATATGTTGACACTTTGGAGACCACTATTATTTTCATCCTCCAATGATAGAGTTCTTCCACAAAGACCACATGACTCAGGCATTTCTACACGATCATTTGTCAAGCCATTATTGATGTGACCAAGCAAATTGGAATGAGGTGATACTAGTGTATTAGTTTGCAAGTCCAATTCCATCTGTAGGCATATAGGGCAATTCAAAAGTCAACAAAAAGGTAGATGAACATTAGGTAATATTCACGAAAAAGGTTTAAAATGTGGGAGGGCACATATTATACAAACGAGATATCAAAAGACCTTAACTACATGAAAAATTGAGAATAGAAATACAGAGATCAAAGAGAAAAGTTTTCAGAAAAAATATTTCAACATATTTCAAAAAAGGATGAGCAATTGAAAGCTTAAAGACCAATTAAAGCATCAGGATTGTAAAATGTCATAAAAGGCGGACAGAAAATAGCACATCAAAAGTCACTCTGCTTCTTATATATCTATTGTTTTAATTCCTGGCATGCTAATCAAGGAATCCTATAATTGACTAACATTTTACTTCATATTACTCCAATAATGAAACACAAACAAATAATAATTAGGGGAGGAGGAAAGGGTAAAGTTGAAAGGAAAAAGGCATAGAACCATTGTACTGAACAGTAAACAAAATACTTTTCTTTATTTCCCCATAGAAAGATGACTAAAACTTCCCTTTATATTACTCCATTAACAAAACATGAAATAAATGATGATTAGGGGAGGAGGCAGGGGTAAAGTTGGGAGATAAAGGCCACACAATGTTCCATAGATTCTGAATTGTAAACAAAGATCTTTCAAACAAAATACGAAAATGCCGACGTGAGTATAACATCACTCTACAGTAATTCATTATTAAAGGATTCTGCGAAGCACCCAAATAGATTGGTCTGGAGTATATAGAGTAAAAAAGGCAGCTTTCTAATATGGAAAATCTGTGATGCACCATAGCAGAACACCTGCAGAATTACATACGTGAGATGCCAGAAAGGACAAACAGGTAATAGAGAAGGAATTGTGGGCAGGCAAGGTGACTGAGCTGCCAGAAGAGGACAAAGAAGATGATCCGAGCAGGTGTATCATCCTAGGAACTGATGTACTCGTAATAAATAGCAAAGAGAGGGAGTGGAGAGGGCATTGAGAAGTGAGACCTTATTATGAGTGTACTGGGAGAGTATGTGAGCCTCTCAAATGCTCACTGCTGTAATCTTTTTTTTTTTTTTTTTTTTTTTTTTTTCCTGTAAATATTAATCAAGAAACTACCTTACTCTAATTATCTTGGCCTGGGTAGCCAGTAATAAATTGTGGTAGTGGGAATCAATATTAAGTGTAATTTAGTATGGACACAACCAACAATCTCCACGGGAAAACATTCGCATTCCCCAAACTTGTGTTTCTTCATATTTTTCCATTACAATCCATTTACCACTTGGGAAGTGGTACTAGGTGGGAATGAAATTTATGAGGAAAAATAGAAAATTTGGGGTCATCTTGATTGATTATGGGAATGAACGTTGATTTTCTTTTCAAATTTACATACAAATCTATTCCCATTACCATTGTTTACAACCGGTTACCAAAAAAGCCATAAAATTCCATCTTTCTTCATATATTGCTGTCTATCAGTATTGTGTAAATGCAGGAAGGGTAACTGATCGTAACAAAATCAGAGAGCAATATAAGAATTTGTCACAAAAAACCTCTACCTACCCAAGACTCTGGCCAGAAGAAGTCAATTTTCTGGCATTTACTCCTTATTTTCCTAACATTTTCTTCTTTCTCTTGTACTCTTGTGTGACTCTCACTCTCTAATTCTCTTATTCTTACTCAACCTTTTACAATGGCTTTTCCATCTCCTTCAGCCAGTCAATCTTGCCTCCTCCTCCCCAATTATCATCATTGCCTTCCCCTCCAATAGGTTGGCAAGCCATTATATTATGGGTCTATAAGAAGATCATCAAATTTCACTTAAAAATTCTGCCACCAAAAGCCATATGCACCAACCCATGAGGACAGTCAAGATACCACCCTTGCCTCCCAATCTAGAAGCCATACGCACAAACCCATGAGTATAGTCAAAATTTCATCCTTGCCTCCCAATCCGAGCCACAAAATGAGCTATTTCCCCAAAGGAAAAAGCTTCTAATTTTAAAAAATCAAGCATAAAAATGTCCAGATTTTGGAGTCAAATGTAAAAGGTCCAAACTAAATAAAGGGTAACAAATCCAGGATCCAAATTTGGTATCAAAGCTAATTAAAACTATACTTCGTGTATGATTTCTAAATAAATATCAGAAAGATTACTATTCAAATATAAACCCCAAAAAAGTGCAGAATAATAAAATTGTTGCAATATACAAGAAGGAACCAAAACTTATTAGTAAATTTAAAAAAAAAAAAAAAATTAAAAAAGAAAAGTCTAACCCTAAGTGACTCAATCACATTTTCCAATGAGGATCTAATGCCACCAAACCAGCAAATCCTTAAATATAATACAAGAAAAATTCGGGGGGGGGGGGGGGAAGGCAAAATTGGCCTTAACAGCATGAACTTTTAACAAGGTGCACATACCAGCATGAACTTTGACTAGTAGTCATAACAGCACAAACTTCTTCATTGGGTGCACAAAATATCATAAATGAAACCTGGCACTAAAGATTCTATCGGAGACGGGAAATCTTTAATATTTTTTTGGCTAAATTTGACCTCAAATTTGGCAAATTGATCCCAAGACCTTAACCAAGGCATTTTATAGCATGCAAATCACTGCATTTTTGGTAAGTTTTTGCTAAATTTGATCTTAAAATTGATCCTTTAAGGATTAAATAACCCTCGAAATCTTAACTGACTAATTAAATCGAGGTACACAATCCAAAACATTTTTTTATAATAATAAAATATTAAAGCTTCTCAAATCTCCGATACCAAGTTTTATATTTTGTGCACCCAATGAAAAAGTTTGTGTTGCTATGGCTACTAGTCAAAGTTCATGCTGCTATACGGAGTAGCTGAGCACAATATAATCCTACCAAGCTTCCACCAATTTATCTTTTGGCCTCTTTTGAGCACTTTCTCATAATTAATGTTTGGAGTAATTTCTCATAGGAAGGCAAACTTTTAATTTTTTTTTATATATTTGTGATCACCAATTAAGGGATGAAGATGTAAGAGGAGGTGAAAACCAAAAGATATCAAGGAGAGAGATTAAGGAAGAAAGGAAGGAGACAAGAACAATGTGCAAAATGAAGAAACAAAAAAGACAAGAATGATGAGGGAGACCGTGATGGATTCCATTATTGGCATACAAGGTGTTACCTATGGCATCGATAAGCAATAATACTCAAAATCAACTAGAAGTGTCAAACACGAGTATGTGTCCCAAGTGTTAGACACATTTATTTAATAAAATCTTTGCATGACCTTGGCCAAGTAAAGTATCTGACATGAGTAGTTGGGGGTGTTTAGCATGCGAGAATGGGTGTTGGGGAGTAGATGGTGGGGTTAAGAATGCGGAATGGTGGGTGAGAATTCATGAAAATAAAACAAATCCCTTATTTGGTGATTGGAAGGAGTATGTTAGGATTAAACAACAAATTCACATATATGGCCTTACTAAACATGCCTCTCCCTTTCTCCTCCAAACACCCCCACCCCTTTCCTCTTTTAGGTAATAAAATGGAGGGAACTATGGTAAGAGATATTGAGAGTTAATCTCTCATTCTCTTAAAACAAACACAAGAATTTGTTGAGTTGTGATATAAACTCTCAACCTTTCCTTTAGTGTCCATAAGACAAACACCCTCCTATAGGTGAAGTAAAATGTCAAAATAGCATATTCTACAAGATTTAAAGAAATAGCCATAGTGCACCTCCTTGAAATTAATGGGGAATCCCTTAGGTTCTTTATAAGTCAAATTGAGGAAGAGTTCATTGAGCATGAGTAGCGAGCATCATTGTTATCAAAGCTGAACATATATCACAATCTCAAATATAGCTTGATTTTTGAGAAAAAAAATTTGGACGTGCATGAGTTAATAATAATTTGGGCAAGTGTTTTGGACTTGCTATTTTGCAAAACTTCTACTAATTGCCCATTGCAAATGGAGCTAAAAGAGTCTTCAGTGACAATATTTTAGCACAAGACTGAATAAATGATGCATCAAGGATGAATCTTTAAAATCATAAACAATTAGAGTTGAATGAAAAGGATCCTTAAAGGGATTAGTTTATAATGCAATCAGCTTTACCAGATGAGACTAGAGAGCCTCCAACAGCCTGAGAATGATGTCCTGATGTTTGAAGTAGGTAACAAAGACAGCATAGTTAATGGACATAACCTGGTTTATTAAATGGTTTGCCTTCGGCAAATAGCAGAAGATATACACTAATACGACACGAAGTACCAGTATATGTTAAGTGTGATTAAATACAAATATATATAGAGCGGCTTTGGGGCTTATAGAGTTTAATCCCTCTTATGTAATACACAGTCCTTTGTTGTATGTATACGGGTGATAATGAGATATGTTTCCCCATTCCAACAAATGCAAGGGGTAATCTTTCTAATACTATACTTATGAATTATAATAATACACTATTCCAAAATAAATGAGATTACATGTTCTTAAAAGTCAAAAATAAAGATACGTAACAGAATGGAATCAATCAATACAAGATAATTGAATATAATTACCTGCTAATGGTGATTTATGAGGAAAACCGCTTCTTCAAATCAAAGAAAACTCCCAATCTACCGCAGTCGGCAAAGCTGAGTATTTGTTTCCATCCTAAAATTTCATTGCAACCAACATTTTCAATCAATTAATCAATTACCAATGATCAATTAATCAATTATGTATTTATGCGCAGATTAATTCCTCTCACTGAATACGGGATTTGGGATTTCAGATAAAACCTAATAAGAGCAAATGAAGCAAGCAATAAAATTCATAAAACAAGGAATCAGAAAGTCTTACAGACCTTTTCAAAAAAAAAAGAAAGTCTTACAGACGAATAGATCTTCGGCTTCAATACAGAAAAGGGACAAAGAGGATTGCTTTTTCTCATTGCCATTTTTCCACTTCAATCCACCTAACCACAGTCCACAACTGCTAGCCCATGAACTAAAGTCAAGATGACGCCGGCTGGAGACTAGTGCATTATGAATTCTGGTCTGGTCGGCTCGGGTCATTTGTATCGGGTCGTTTTTAAAGCCTACTCGACATATGGTTTGGATTTGGGTTTATTCGACCGGAAAAATACAAGTTTTAAAAACGTTTATCTCTAATTATATTTAACGATTATTATCTCTAATTATCAACATTGTAAAATTATAAAAAATGGATATTAATAAAATATACGAAACGATTCAAACAAAATCTCACATGACTATGTTTTATCGTATCATAAATCACAAAAGCGAGTCAAGTGTAATGTGTGAATAGAGTAATAATCAAACGGTGTCAACTAAAAAAACGGAGGAATATATCATTAAATTTTTTCATTAAATGTGATCACAGATGTTGATTTATTTGCGAAAATATGATGATAAACTGGGGCTTCTTCCATTCAACCTTCATAACTTAGAATTTTGGGTTCATGATAATATCTTTTTTATTAGAGGATTCTATCAAAAAAATAATTAATTAATACACTATTTATATCAGTTTGTTACATCATACACATAGCCTCATATGATAAGTTGTTGTCAGTTAATATATTACCATATTATTATTTATATGTGAGTTTATGTCATAATAAGAAATATATCGATTATAACCGCACGAATGCAGAGGACATATTAGTCAAGCCAAATAGAGTAATTCATTAGTAATAAAATTAGTCTATTATGGAGTAATTTTATCGTTATACCACTGTTCCATTTGAGTTATTCCTATATTAGTCTTTTTACTTTTCGTTTATACCATTGTTCCATTTGGGTTATTCCTAAAGTGTGAATAATGCAGTGTGGTCTCACAATCTACTAAGGCCCTATTCTCTTAAGCTTCGCATAGCAGGGATCAACAGAGCAGAGCAGATTTCAGCATTATTATTATTATTATAATTATTATTGTTATTATTATTATCATCATCATCATCTTTAAATATTAGTATTATTATTAAATATTAATTATTATTATTAATAATTAAATATTAAATATTAATTATTATTATTATTAAATATTAAATATTAAATATTAAATATTAATTATTAATTATTATTATTATTATTATTATTATTATTATTATTTTTAAGCAGCAGAGCAGTTCAAAAGAAAAGGGCCTAAATTTACTATTAGACCAAAAACTATTTAATATTGGAGATCGAGATTGAGATTGAAATAATTTGCGATTAATTCTTGTGTTTTATTACAGAGATGTGTTTAGGAATAGATGGAAAAGTTGAGTAATGAATGGTATATTAGTAACTTGTTATCTATTACTAATTAGTCTATTACCATAACTGCATAAGATATTCATAACCATATGAAGAAATATATAGTGAGGAGAGAGAAGAGATATCAAGGGTTAATGACTTTACCAATTCAGAACTTCCTCAAAGAAATCTCCCAGTTTTGGTGAGCAAATTAAAACCAGAATCCCCCAATTTGCCTTCTCAATCCTCAAATTCAAGTGTGAAGGTGCATAATCTTTAATTTTCTTTTTGTGGAAAATCTTGTATTTTTAATCTCTTGATTGTTATGATTTCATTTGCTATAAATACAAAATCAATCAAGTATATTATGTTTCATTCACATTATAAATTAGTTGGTATAATTCTATTGCTTTGTGTTTGTAATCATAGTTTGTCAGCTTTTAGAAGATGTCCAGGTGATTATCATCATATGGCACAAATTGCTTTTTATACATTATACTCATATATCATAATTGTGATTAGCAGCTACCTTTTGAAATGCAAGTATGTGGTCAATTTCAATAATTTTACCTAAAATTTAATCCAAAATTTCAATAATTTTACCTAAAATTTAATCCAAAATTGAGATTAATCAGATGAGATGATTAAAAAAAAAAAAAAAAAAAACTTCATATTCATGTTGATTTATCTGCTAGTTAATAATACTTGAGGTATATCATGACATTACACAAATCCAATTTATGCAGAAGAGGTGGACAAAAGAGGAGAGTCAACTTTGGGGATGGAGAAAGGAGGAGGAGCCCCAGACTATTTGGCTCTATCTCTGCTTCATCTCAGAAGGGAAGCAACATCAAAGCATCAAGGGAAACAACGTCAAAGCATCATCACCGTTTACCACCATCATGTGACTCTGATCATGATCAAGACGACGACAACAAACTTGACTCACATTCACGCTCTTGTGCTAAGCTTGAACTCAAACAGTCTCTAAAAATTCCACGTCCACTCAACAGGTAACCATTAGCTCTATCAACACATATACACATAACACAACAATATTAGTTATTATATTTTTGATATCATGCACTCTTTTCTTTATCATTTTAGTGATTTGCCAATAACATATTTCATGAATTCTATTTTGCGCCATTGCATAATCTTGTACATTTATCACATTGAATTACAATCAGCCAACTGAGACTTTGATTCTACTCACTTTTATGTTCGTGAATTTTATATTATGCATTCGCTTTATATAACTTAGTGATTACAATCTTTGATTTTCTATAAGCCATGACCAGGGTGAAAGAGCTCCAAGTCATCGCGATGATCATTCAAAAGATGGTAAGACTATGTTTCTCTCCTACCACCTAAAGTGATATGTATACCCTTGCCCAAAGCTAAGTAAACAGACATGGTTGTCACTTTACTTATGTTGCATGTAGTTACATCGTCTGTAAGATTTATAAATCCAAATAGGCCTTGAATTTTCTAATCTCGAGAGTAATCTATTGCTTCCGATGCTTCTCATAAATTGATCCAGATCTATAGATAAACTATGTTATAAAGTCTAAAGAAAACCATCACATAAGAGTACAGATCATATTATTACATTGATTCATTCTGCTTGCCCCAGCCCCTTAAATAACTGTTTGGCACCATTTGTGTTAAGGATTGAGCCAATAAGGCCAATTTGCCCATTGTTGATGTCTCCTCAAAGCTCAGCTTTGGGTGTATATTAATACGTGTTCATTCTATGGTGAGTGTATGGTCTCACACTTGAGGGGGGAGATCAATCAGATCATTAAGTGCAATTGTGTGAGTTTTATGTGCCCCATGTTGAAAGATAAAGATTTTTCACTTTGTAACCCAAGTAGGCTACTCTTCCATTGCCAATTGGATTTAGGACAAAATCTCACTTTGGGCACAGTGAGTGGGTTCTCTCTCTTTTCTCTCCTCCATTTGTTATAATAAATTGGAATCTGAGCTAGGTTTGGTTGGATTGTTCGCACACTCTGATAGATGTCATCTGTGCTAGGGCTTGTGCCGCCGATAAGGCCCATATGTTGGTGTCTCCTTAGAGCTTGGCTTTGTCAGGTCTGAGTGTGAATCTATCTGTATTGTTCAAGGGGAAGATCATTAAGTGCAATCATGTAAGGATTATGTGTCACACATTAGAAGATAAAGTAAATAACTTTCACTTTCTAATCCTAGTGAGCTATACAGATTCAAAGCTTATACTAAGGAGCAAATTGTATTTCCAATATGCAGATGAGTCTTGGTTACCAGATAAAAGTAGCCTTGAGCTTGTCCTTGACACATTGCAAAGGTAAACTCAATTACTTGCACATAGTAGTATCACTATAATGCTAGATGTCTTATCTTCTTTGTGTACTTTTAGTTTTACTTGCATTTTTGAAACAAAAGGCAAATCTGGCTATAAAATGTTCAAAGTACCAATCAAATTCCATAACCATTATAAACAACTCTCATTTTTCAGGAGAGATACATATGATATATTTGCAGAGCCGGTGGATCCTAGTGAGGTTAGCTACCCTTTCTATCATCATTTTTGAACCCATCAATTTTGATTATTGATTAATACTCCACTGTATCTAAATAAGTGCATCAGTTTGACTTTGACTGGTACACGTGCCAACGCACAACTTTGACCATGTATAATAGATACGAAGGGAGTATAATAATGTAGTAATATTATTCTTGTTTTCTACATATGTTATAAGAGTGTCATTTTCCAAAATATCTTCAGGTCGAAGAGTACTATGAAATCATCAAAGAGCCAATGGATTTTGGCACAATGAGAGCTAAACTTCATGAAGGCATGTACAAGAATATTCAGCAGTTTGAGGTCTGATATCTCCATAAGCACAATGTCAAACTGTGTGCGTGTGCGTGTGCTTGTGCCGTTGTGCGTGCGTGCACGCGTGGGTGTGCTTGGGCGTGCCACGTGCGTGAGTGCGTGTGTGTGTGTGATCTACCCAGATTATCTCATTTTTAATGCAGACATTTGAATGTCATCTGACTTGTCATTGTTCTTTGCAGCATGATGTATATTTGATATTTGGGAATGCTATGCATTTCAATTCATCATCCACTGTGTATTTCAGACAGGTTAGCCCTTATATTTTGTATGGTAGGAAGTGCTGATTATAATATTATTACTTTCTTCACATTGTGATACGAAAAGTTGAATTTCCCAGGCACGTGCTTTGGAGGATTTAGCAAAAAATATTTTTTTTGTCCTGAAAAAGGATCCTAAAAATTTCAAAATGGACTTCACTGCAATAAGGCGAAGATCAAGTAGAAAATTTGGTGGTGAACATAGTGGTTTGACTTTTGGCTCATCCGGGAAACTAGCAAGGGACTTGGGATCCAATAGCATGCATACTGATCTTGGTCGTAAAGGTCAGTCGTTATTGATAAGTACTTCTTAGTTGTGGTTTTGGGAATTGTTAATGTTTTTACCATCTCAAGTAGAGGAAAAACCTTTTCAGTTGGTCAAGTCAGTGAGATTATACATCAACTTTCAAAAGGAATTTGTACTTCAAACAGAAAGAAGTGATGTCATAAGCCATTCTTTCTTTTATAGCTTTTAGTTCAGTGTTCAGGACATTGTGTGCCTATAGGAACCTACACCCATCAACACGAAAAGCAGGAAAAGGGAAAGAAAAAAAAGAGGAAAAGGAAATTCTATAGCTTATTGAGCATAAAAGCATGCACTCTAACAGAAATTGGCAGAAATCTTTAATTTTGTAAGCTCCTCAGATGAGAAAATTCTCTACAGTCATAGTTGATGCATCATCTTGGTAACATCTCTTCTTTGAAGACAGGTTTTGGAAAAGAGAGAAAAACTTCTTTTTCTGGAATTGATCGGCGTTCTACATACAAATCTTGGATTTGCTTGTTTGATGAAACAAGTTCAGCTGTTTCACCACTATTTTGCGGCACAAAACCACTCATACCTGTAAGGTTTTATTGCTATATGTCTCCGTGTACCTATTTTCCGTATTAGCTAGTTTTGAGAAAGCAGAGGTTATGAAAAGATTCGTCAGCTGACTGCATTAAGTGGTTATCTTAGATTTATTGGTATTAGCTAGATGGGCATAGATGCCTATCAGTGTTGCTCGTATGTCAATTTATGTTGCTCTTTATATTTTAATATGAAGCCAAGGTCATTTGGTTGTGCATTCACACTGGAGACACCCTTATTTCTTCCCCCTTTTGCGCGAGTGAGTTTATATCTTCTGTTTGCAGGAAAATCTGGAGGAGTCTGGATACAAAGAAAGCTTGATGTTGTTTGCTAGAAATTTGGGACCTACAGCTCATAGAGTTGCAAAAAATAAATTGCAAGGATTATGGATGCAATCCTCCTCCAGTAGTAGGTCTCAAATGAATAGTTGGGACAATTCTTCTGTCCACAATTCTCAAGCCCCTGCTGCCTCATCTCTTGTTCAAAAAGAACCTGCTAATTCTTTGTTATGTGGTACCATACCCAGCACAAATCTTGCTGCATCTCACCGTGTGATTGACATTGAAACAGCCAATGACATAAGGAAAACAAGTGATGTTAGCACAAGTGGAGAGAAATCGGCCAAAAGTTTTGTAGATATTAAATCTATCATCCCATGTACAAGCCTGGGAACAAGCGATTGTGTCTTAAGGGATCAAGCTCAAGGCAACATGAAATACAATAAAAGTATTTCTGCCATTGCTAGCGGAGATAAACTTAAACAAAAAATCTCTGTAAATCAGTATGGTGAATTGGATGTCATGACCCACACTAGTAGCAAGGACAATGAAAATACTGAATTTGCAAGACCAAGAGTGCTGCTGAAAGATGGTGGCACGCTAAGCTGCCATCTGAATACAATGCTTCCAGCTGTGAAAGAGACAATATTGGAACAATTTCAGGCTGGCAACAACTTTGACTTGAATCAGGTTCAGGTTATCCCAAGTCCAAGCTATCTAGTTGGGTGTTCTTATGAAGATGACAATTTAGAGACTCGTGAAGTGAAATCTTATTCTGGATTGGTTGAAGCAACCAAGTTCAACCATCTTTCCTCTACAGGTCATGCCAAAGCAGCAATATATGAGGACGTGACTAATATGCATCCATCATCAATATCCAGCCAATTTAACTTTAATCTTCCTTATTTAAAGCTGAGTATGGGAAAATTGGGTGATGAAGTTTTTGAAAACAGCTCTACCACAAATGGACAACGATCGGCATTGCAGCTGCCTCCGGAGCTGAATAGTAGCAGCCTCTCACCAAATGCATCTAAAATCAGCTTTGGGAAGGCGTCTGGCGGATACACCAACCACAATCATGGATTCTATCTTGAAAACCATCATATGACATCACCCTATATTATGAAGACTCAGTTACCTAAACTTTATACTTAAGGTGATAGCATATTGCCATCTTACCACTAATAATCCTCTCATTATGATGTCCACTGCTACAACCTTTTATTGCTCTTTCTTTCTGTCTTTTTCCCCCCTTTGGTGGCAGCCTGGAGGCCATTTTATTGTTGATTGAAAGAGTTAAGTAAATTATAGTGTGTTGGAATGAATGACGAAAAAGGATCGATCAATGATCACATTGTTGTGATTGAAAAAGGATATGTTTATTATTATTTTTGTTGAGTAGTAAAGTGTTAGGACAACCTAAAATGAAAAGTGGCCAAATAAATTTAGATGGAGGAAATATATTTTTCATTGATAAAACTTTTGTTGTACCCTAAAGTACTACATGTATGTTACTTATAACTCGAGCCAACTAGTTAATCAATTAAAAACAGTTTCTAAGCTTGACAAAGTTAATCTAAGCTTAGAACTATTTCAACTTGTATAGACATAAGCACAACTCAAGTTTGATGAGTTGATTAGTTATTGTATGTGTTTTTCATGTTTAGTAACTGTGTAACAATATCATTCCAACAATTAAAATATGATAGAAAAACCATATAGGCTACTTCATTTATGGGAAATATGATGTTTTGAAATTGTTTCTTCCTTGAATTTGTCTCAAAATAATAAGTCAGATTTGCTTAAGCATAAAAAAATAAAAAAAAGAAAAAAAAAAAAAAAAAGTTAGGTCATACACTCTACTTAGAAAAAACCGGGGCTTTAGGAAGTTTACCCACTCATTAGCTTGAGTCTCCATTTGTTACAAAGAGGAATTAATTTTAATGGGATTTATTCGAGCAATTAAATATCATCCCTAGGCTTAACTAACTAATGCAATTGACTTGCCTCAAAAAAAAAAAAAAAAAATGCAATTGACATTTGTATTATATTGGTAAATACTACTCTTGCAAATTAGATATTTCTACTCATATTTTATGCCAAATAGTTACAAATAATATAAAACGAAGGTAGTAATAGGTTTGTATAGGGTTACGGACAAAAGAAACGTGTTAGATACAAAAAGGAGGTGTATGGCAGGGATGTAAGGAAGAGGAAATTGGGGTTGACTTTGGCAAAAAAAAGCACCGGAGAAATAGTAGTCCTAGTCCCCAAACTGGGGCTGGGGTTGTTTTTTTTGTATGTTGCTTGTCTGGGCAGTTAGTTACAACTTCCAACCTGGATTTGGAAACTCAATCACAACTTTATTATGATCAATTTAACCGCTTTCTTCTTCTTTTGGCGGGCATTGTTGAGCCATTGAATTGAATTTCCCAATTATATGATCTGGGTTTCATCTACATTTTCATTCATATATTTAGGGTTGGTTGATTTGATCGATTATTTGGAATTCAGAAATGGCGTATAGAAGGAGAGCTGGGGGTATAAGCAGGTCTACCACTTTCAAGGAATACCCAGAAGAAGAATTTGATCATGATCATAACAATAGAACCAATTCTTTTAAATTGAAAAAAGATAAAGATGATGATGATGATGATGATTCTGCTGGATCCTTGGCTGCCAGAGCCACCCGAGCCTCCGCCGCGCATCGCGATTCTTCCGGCTATGGTTCTGCTTATGCGTCTCCCTCCGCTGCCGCTGCCGCCACCGCCACCGCTGAACCTCCTCCTTCTCTCTCTCTTCGTAATTCTCCACAATTCCGATCCATTTCCTTTTCAAAGGTACTCTTTTTCCTTCTTGGATTTTTTTGCTCTATCATTGTTTGTCTTGTAATTCGCAATTCAAAGTTTGTTTATGCTTTGCTTCCTATAAGGGATACTTGTTGAACCTGTTACTCTTGTTATTGAATTCAATTTTTTTTTTTTGCAATTCCCAATTTGTTTGTCCTGTAATTCCCAATTAAAAGTTTATGCTTCTTTTTTATGACAAGCATTCCATTTGCATTTTTATATTTAATTTGATTGAATGTAGCAAGAACAAAGATATCAGCAATCTAGCTTTGTTTCATTTCATAACGAGCTTTAATGAGCAACAATACAACACATTTATATGGAGGCTGTCTTACAATCTTACTTGACAGCACACCACCAAAACACTTATCAACTGCTAAACATCATGCCTTTCGCTAATCATTATTCGACCAACTTTCTAACAACTGATAAAACCGACAGCTAAACACACTACATGACAAACTTGACCTAGGAAGAATCACATGACACCCAAGTTCTGCAACTTGATTTTGTGGGTTGCTGCTGATGCAATTATCTGTGGCCATTGCCTTCACTGCTTGATCTGCATACCACTTATCTACTCTCCTTATTCCCCCTCAAACTCTCCCAACTTGGACAAAAGCTTGTTATTTTCATTGGTGGGAAAACACTTACAATATGTTTGGATAAAGAAAGGGGAAGGAAAAGAACGGGAGGGAGGAGAAGAGGAGGGGAGGGAAAGGGAGGGGAGGGAAGAATGGTGAGTTTTCCTTCCAATTCTTTCCATTGATGCAGGGATCAATTTCCTACAATTTAATCCCTCCATTTCTCTCCCCTCCAATTCCCTTCCTTCCTCATTTGTTAAATGGAAGATACCTCATCTCTCCATTTCACTTCCCTTACTTTCCCTCCATTTCCTTCAATCCAAACACACTGTTAGTGAATATGTCTGTTAACTAATTAAATAAAGGACCAAAAGTGAGAGACCGGGAGTAATGCAACCATCTGCTGTTTCATCCTTAAACAAGTGACGATTACCCCGTATGCTTTGTCTTCTTATCATCGATCGACCTTGATCTTTTGAGACGGGTTCGAGTAAGAGAATACTTGTAGAGACTTAAAAGATGGCGTACTATGCCTGAGTGAAGTCGGGGCCCGAATTAGGTATAAAGGCAAAAGAGTAATCGAACCTCAAGTTCTATTAGGTAAAGCCAATATATAAAGACCTCTTGCCGCAACACCCTCAACCTATTCTCAAATTGTAAGTAGGTAGGACAGATCAGCTGTAGAGTCATGTCACGGAATTGAGAGCTCTAAGTGGGCCAAATTTGGTAAGAAGAATTTGCGATGCAGGATGAAGCGGAACCAGGTTATAGTGACAAACTACGCACTAACCTAGATCGCACAATGCATGTTGTTCGATTAAGACAACAATGGTCATGGAAGTCAAAATGCCCTAAGGAGTGTGTTGCCGAATCAACTAGCCCAAAAAATGGAATGCACTAAAGCGCGTGTGATGCGGGAGCAATAGTCCAATATGGGTTTTCTTGAAAATTCATGGAGTTTTTAGAAAGCCTACACTATTTTTTATTTATTATTAATTAAGGACTTTGCCTATGGGTTTTTACCTTTCACTTGAAAGGATTTTTCCTATTTTTAGGCTTAAGGAGTTTTAGTAATAACGATATTTATTTGTTTAACTAATTTATGTTAGGATAGATTTAGTAGTTGGTTACAAATATGATTAGGAGATTTATTAGGATTAGGATTCTTAATATTATATCTTATTTTAGGATATGATTATTAGTTTCCTATCTTATCTTTGTATGATTTTTCACCCTATAAATAGGGTGCATATCAATAGTGATTTTTAATGAATGATGAGAGATTTGTTTTGGGAATTAACCCTTTGAGCGTTGCTCGTTTGATTGTTAATCAAAAACATCACTTGTTGTGACTCGTGATTATCTTCTAGTTGCGACTAGGAAGAGACCCTCTATTCTTGCGAGAATAGAGTATTATCCTTTTAATTATCGTGTAATTCTTTAGTTTTTGTTAAAATCCGAAGATCCAATGTTATTATAGCTTGCGAGCCTTGTGAGAGTCCTGAGAGATCCACATCATAATATTGCTCCCGCATCAGCATGACCTATTCTCGTTCATTAGCAGGGTGTAGTGGTGGTTGTAGCAAATATTCAAATGAGAACTTTGAAGGCCAAATAGGGGAAAGATTTCATGTTAACGACCTTTGCACATGGGTTAGTCTGTCCTAAGAGACATGGAATCCCGTCCGATTCCGTGTTTTGCGCAAGCTTAGAAAGGGGTCGGGTTTAAACTCTTGAATCAGGACGTGGCGGTTGAAGGCAACATTAGGGAGTGGAGACATCAACGGGGATCTCGAGAAGAGTTTTCTTTTCAATTTAACAGCTTGCCCATCATGAAATAGTTCATTCGGAGGTAGGGTTCAACGGCTGGAATAGCACTACACGTTTTGTGGTGTCCGTGCGCCCCTGATGGCCCTTGAAAAACTAAAAGACCGAGTGTTGACCATACCCTGGTCGTACTTCGAACCTCATCAAGTCTCCAAGGTGAACAACCTCTAGTCGATGGAACGATGTACGTAAATGGATCCTTAACTTCAGGAGAAGGATTGGTTCGGATAAGGGGTCCCACTCTTGAACTCATTGGTTGTTGGCGTATGGCTCGAGTTGTTCTCGTGGCGAAAGCGAGTCACCGTAAGGGTGCGAGGTGTGGGTAGGGGGGACAATGTGGAAATGACCACTTGAATAGTCTATTTAGGGGAATATGACTGTTTAATTAAAATAAAGCATTGCGATAGTCCATGTGGAGGTGAACATAACGTGATTCTACCCATTGCTCCAAATTTCAAAGTAAAGAAATTCAGCCAAACACGGGTAAATGAGAGAAACTATGTCTCTCTTAAGGTAAGCAAATTCCTTGTCACCTAATAAATGATGCCATGAATGGATTAACGGGATTTCCGCTGTCTACTATCCAGTGAAACCGTAGCCAAGGAAACAGGCTTAGTAGAAACAGAAGCGAGGCAATGCCCCTCCCATGATTGCCTTGTGTTGATGAAGGAATGTGTAAGTTGTGAATGGGTAAATTGACAGTTAAAAAGCAAAGTAGATGATTACAACCACCTAAATGGACTCAAAAGGTGCCTTGTGGTCTATGGAAAACACCCTCACTTGTTTCCTTTTCGGGTCCAAACTGGTAAAAAATTGTCCAAAATTGAAGGCTATAATCCACTTTTCGAGGCAAATTTTGGAAATCTTCTCCATAATTGAAATGAAGGCGCAGGGTCTCCTTGAGATCATATAAGTTGGTTTGGAATCGTAACAAGCCTACCAATAGGTCAATAAAGTCCTTAGAATGAGTTTGATTCATCTATGTGGCTATTTTGGAATTATGTTGCATTGGTAGTGAAGAGATGGTTATTTATACAAACTTGCCATTTTAAGGTCCTATTAATGTCTATGGAGTCTTTCGTCTTCATTGGTGTTGTTGATTATAACCATTTTTTTTTTTTTGGGAGGATATATCTAGATACACATCGTATACCTCTAGTAGCAAACTTATCAGCAATTCTACTTGGATTACTAGCTATAGCTAAGCATCCATAAGCTTTTAAGTTATCATACTAAGGTACAGCATTGTGCTGTACTTCATAAGGTATCTACTCTTCCGGCTTCTCCAGTATTGGAATTTGGAATCCCATTTGTTATGTATATTGCAGCCAAAGTACAATCTACCGAAATCTGAGTAGGAGCTTTGATATTAACTTGAGTGCCTTGCTCATTTCAATATTCTTTCTTTGCATCCTTTCTTATCTTCCATTCTGTTAAAGCCTATTAACATAGGTAGTTTGATGTTGAGTTTCTTTCTAAGTGCTGCAAGATCCTATGATCTTTACTTGTATTGTGTCTTCCCCATCTGAACAAAGGATTTTATGGCATTTCAAGCATCTGATTTCTGTGTTAGTTATTATGATTATCCACTAGAGTGAGGAAATATCTATGATTACGCTACTCGTATAAGGACCCCAAATCTATGTGAATCAATTTTGCATCTCTTGATTTGCTTTTTGCATAAGAAAGAAGCCCAGGTTGATAACATTGATAAACATGAGATGTTTATCAAATGGCATTTTTGTAAATAAAAAAGCCTTGGTTTCCACGCTGTACAATAAAAAAATATTTTCCACCCCATTTGGACAACCGGCAATGACAGATGAAAATTAACGGAGTTAGAGAGCTCTCTCCATTGAAGCAAGGAGGTGCTATAGAAATTTAAAGCTCAATAAATCGTGAGCTTCAATGGAGGAATAACTTGGCTTCAATGGACATCCACCATTTTCTCCACCGGATTCCGGCGGCTTCGCCGCCAAATTTTACTTAAACCCTAAAAAATAAAAGAAATCAAGGGCATGGTTAACCTTAAAGGGTAGGTTTTTGCCGTCATCCTCCATTAAAGCTACTTGTGAACTTCAATTCCTCCATTGATGCTTTTCAAGTGATGACTCGCTGCCTGCTCCTTCAAGACTTTGAGTGATGATTTCTCCATTACCTTGCTATTTGCTCCTTCGAGAATTCACGTGATGATTTCTCCATCAACTTGCCGCCTACTCCTTCGATCAGATAACTCGCCGGTGGATGGGCCAACGAAGAGAGAGAGAGATAAAGCTAGGTGGGTTTCTCACTGTTAACATCAAAGGAAAGATAACGCCATTAACTAGACTGTCTAAAGTGAATTACACCTATACCCCTCAATGCACATATAAATGTACCATTGTACCCCTTGATAAACTTCCTAAGTTTATCATTGTTATAAACTTGAATTTACTCTTGCATAAGCCAGTTTGACAAAATTGACATAAGGACAGGTCAAACACACATCATCCTCTCCCTTGATCTCTGTCTACATTCTTTTGATTTTCTTCATTGAAGCATAACCTATCATGAAGTGACATAGAGTTAATTCTTGAGTGGTTCAACCATAAACATCGGTCACCATGGATGATACATTAAGGCATCAAGCTTCACTGTGGTCCTTCTTTTACTCCCTTATTTACTCCACAAAAGTTGTTTTCTGACTTCTCTCTCTGCTTAATGATGCCTAGTGGCTCATTGATTAGAGGCCATGCACAACTCTTCTTATGCCCTTGACTCTTCCACCTTTGCAGTCACACAGTGTATCCTCCATTCTCACTTAGCTTTTGAACTGACAGAAAGGCGTGCTTGAAAGCAGGCACATACAACACAGTTCTTAGCTAGTGTCATTCTTCAACTTCACTTCACCAATGTGACATCACTGATGTTTGGCCTGTTGACAAGCTTATCTTTGGTTGATTCTTTGCTTTCGCCAATTTTCTAGTGTTCTTGTCATGTTATCCGATGTCCTAGAGTCTATATTTCACTTTGGTCTAGGTATGTCCGCAATAACTACCCCTTATTTGCTCATATTCAATTCTTCGTACCCTACATTATCTGGTATACCCTTTTTATTGGTTGGAATCAGCTTCATCAACTGCTTTATTTGCTGTGTAGGTGATGATAACATCCTGTTTTATTAGTGGGATAAAAAGAATGAATACTAAGCTCGATTTTTGACATGTTTTTCTCTCCAAATAGGAAAAATATGGAAAAAAGGCGGTAATAGGAAAAAAACAGGGAAAGTTGGGGAACAGTCCCAAGAGATGGGAAAAGGTTGGGTTTAATAGAGGGATGGCTGTTTGACACTTTGGTAGATTCCAAATGAGGTTCGGAAGGTATTTTGATCCGGGAATAGGGTTATGGGGGAAAAAGACAATTGTTTGCATAAGATAAGAAATGGTTCTTACATGCGAAGTAAATAATTTGTTCACATAAATAAGGTATAATACTTTTTTCCCTTCACATATAATACGTATTCATGTTTTGGACAATTTTCAACTTTTTGGATCGAAAGGAAACAAGTCGGGGTGCTTCCCATAGACCCCCTAAGACGTCTCAGGACTTTATATTGGTGGTTGGAGTTGTTCACTTTGCCGTTAAACTGCCAAGTTACCCATTTACCATCTATGCCTCCTTTTCATTAACTCAGGCCACCATGAGACTATACATGACTGACTAATGGTCATATATAGTTCCAAACAATATTATATGACCCCAAGATGCATCCCCTACTGTCATGAGAATTTTCGACACCGGGTCCTAAAACCTCTAAAATTGGTCCAAAATTATGGATTATAACCTTTGGTTTTTGACAATTTTGGACTTTTTTGGACTCGAAATGAATAGTGGTCAGGGTGCTTCTTATGGACTCCACAACACCTAAGGAGGCCATTTGGATTGTTGGAACCATCCAATTTTTCTTTAAACCGTCAATTTAGTCATTTATGTACATGTCTCTCTTAATTAATTCAAGGCGACCACGGGCCTCTATGTGACCGACTAATAATCATATATGGTTCTAAATAACATTATATGATCCCTGGATGTATCCCTGGATTTCGACACCAGGTCACGAAACATATGATATTGGTTCAAAGCGTGAAGCCTTCGGTTTTGGACAATTTTGGACTTTGTTGGACTTGAAAACAAAATTGGTCAGGTTCCTCCCGTGAACTCCACGACACCCCGAGAAGCCATTTCAGTGTTTGGAATTGTCCACTTTACCTTTTAACAGTCAATATGGTTGTTATAGTATACATCTCTTTTCATTGGGCTATAGGCCACCACAACGCTTTAATGTGAAAGACAAATGGTCATATATGATTCAAAACAACATTATATGACCCCTGAATGTGTCCTATACGATTCCGTGAATTTTCAACTCTAGGCCTTGAAACCTCTGAAATTGATCCTGTCGTGTATTATAACGTTCAATTTGGCTTCCAGAGAACATATTTGGAACCGACAAGATAATGCATCGAGGTGCTTCTCGGGACCCAAAGGGCCTTGAGAGTCCTACTTGGATCCTAGAACTATCTCATCCATGCTTTGGTCCACCCTTAATCATGTCTTAAGATGTCGTGCCTTGTCTTGGTCTTTTCCTTGCCTTTGCTTTGGCCCTAAGGCAAGCCAAGACACTAACCTCAACTGCCAAAAATAGGTGCTTTATGGATGAGGTGTTTTTATGCCTTGTCCTTGTGTACGTCTTGTGCCCATGCCATACGCCTACAACATGGTTGTCCCTTGGCTGAGATGGCCCAATCCCTTAGCATTTACTAACACCAAAGGTGCATTGCTACCCTCGTTTAGCAAAATATGGTGTTTTTAGGGAAGAGGGTGGGGGGAGAGGGACGAATCAAAGCGATATAGGGTTGAATCTCAGTGGATCATTCCAATTGTTTTGCTTGAGCTTGATTCACCTGGACCTTGTGCACTGGCAACTAATTTGCTTCCACCTCTGCCTGTTTTGCTTCCTCTATTCCACCCACCGTTCCCACCACCTCTAGAGTTGCTGAACTGCTCTTTTCCTTTGGGTTTTTCATCCTTTTGGCCTTGACTCTTGGGATGCGAACTGGGATATACTATAACTGTCCAACACTTATTTCTAGTGTCCACTTCTTCCACAAGTTGTGCAGCTTGCATTTGTTCCCTTGCCAGACACTGCCAAGATTCATTCTCTTCTTTCAACGGAAGGAGTACGTCTCTTTGTGATTCCTTCTATTGAAGTATGCATATCTACTGGTAAAAGAGTTGACATCATAAGAATAAGACTTCTTTGAAATCCATGTGCATTATCTAAACTGATATAGCTTGTGTTCCTCCTGCTGCTTGGCTAGAGGCTAGAGCATCTACAAATGCACTTATATCACTGGTGAATGGAGGTAGAGTGTTTAGGTCCTTCAGTCCCTCTCACAATCTTCTTAATTCGGTGTTGTATTCAGTTTTGGTTTTTCTTTTGTCGCTTTGTTTCATACATAGCCTTGCTGAGTCTATATTTTCTGGATCCATTGGTGACTGTGTATATCTAGTTCTCTACTGTAGTAGCTTCCATATGTCAGCACAAGAGCTCACATACATAATAGACTTCTTAATGGAATCATTCACATTTGTAATAATTTAGGAATAACCATAATATTGCATGTATCCCATGCTTCATTTTTCACAGAACCTGTTGCATCTTTTTTTATTGTCCCTGTAAGTAGGTGTCCTTGCAATTTCTCAACAGATACACTATTGCTTCGATTAGATGAATGCAGGAGCAGAACTAGTTGTATCTGTGGTCATTTTTTTCCTTGACATAACTAAATATTGAGAACTAAACACTCCGAAAACTTCTATGCTAAAGATTTAAGCTTAAAAATTTTGCATAAAGAGAATTACACATACATCAAATGCTTGAAAGTTATAGAGAGGTCGAGCTATATTTGTACTCAAAAATAATCTGATTGATTGAGTGTTACAATAACAAAAAATTTCAGCAACCCAACTTTCTTTTATTTCGTCTCAAGCTCTAATGAGAAATAATACAATGCATTTATATGGTGGCTTCCTTGCTTGACTGCACACCACTGAAACACCAATCAACTGCTAGAAACTGGATGATTCTACCAGCTTTCTGACATAAGACAAAAATTAATGCTAAAGACAATGCATGACAAACTTGACAGCTACATACTAGGAAGAATCACGACACGAAGTCCTGCTACTTGATTTTGTGGGCAGCTGGTGCAATTATCTGTGGCCATAGACTTCATTGCTTGAATTGCATAACCAATTGTTACTTACTTTCATTGTTATTATATTGTAGGGATCCGAGAGCAGTTCAGTGAAAGACTCAGAAGACCCTAAAGATGGATTTTGGGGTATCTTAGCCAGGAAGGCCAAATCAATTCTTGATGAAGAGGATAAGCAATTTCAGTCTTCTACTAAGATTAAGTCACAACTTCATGATGAGGATAATCAGGTCTTCTGCTTCTACTGTATTTTTCTTTCTGTGCTACTAGATTTTTCTAATTTAACCTTTTTTCTTATCTTTACAGTTTTACTAATCCCATCATCAATCTTCACAGACTGGCTCAAAGATTGATAATGCTCGATTGAGGAAGCGCATCGATGCCATTACTTCTTCCCTTAATACCCTTGGTGATACCCTTGGCAATGCTTTTGAGGTTGTTCGCCTATTGCCTCACTTTCTGGCTTCACTCATTTTCTCCCTCTGCTTGTCATCTGTCTTAAGTTTTTTTTTTTTTTTTATTCGCTTTGCAGGAAGGTCTTTCAATCATGGAGCACAAGACTGCTGATATTATTCAAGAAACTCGCAGTAGGACAGCTGATTTCATCCAAGAAACACGCAAACTCCAACTTCGTAGAAGAGGAGGCACTACTTCAGATACTCCTGATCAGGCAACTGTTGTGCACAACACTTCATGGCAGCGACCAGTTCTTCAGCCTGTGCAGACAAGTTCACTAACCAATCAAGAAACGCAACTCAAGGCTTCTCGCGACGTAAGGTGCCAAATATGTAATAGTGTATTGCTAGCTATTGCAGGAACAATGAAACACAACTAGAGATAGTGTTGCCCTTTCTGAAGCTCCTTGCTTAGTTTTATCTCTCATCTTAGTTTTTGTCTTTAATTGAAACTTAAAAGTTAAAACACTTCACAGTTGGTTCATTTTAATCAATTTGAAAAAAAAAATGAAGAGGGTGAGTGAGCAGTAGATAGTGTGATCTGAAGAAGGTTCAGTCTTGTAGGACAATTCTTTTCACTTATGGCCTTGAGCTGGTCCACTATTGTACTTAGTGGAACTAGGTTTATCTACATCCTACCATCTTTTTGGTAAAGAGCATCACTTTATATTCTATTTGGTTTACAGGTTGCAATGGCTACTGCTGCCAAAGCAAAAGTTCTTCTGCGGGAGCTTAAAACCGTGAAAGCTGATTTAGCCTTTGCAAAGGAGCGTTGTGCACAACTAGAAGAAGAAAATAAGAGACTTCGAGAGAATCGAGAGAAAGGAGACAACCCTGCTGATGATGATCTGGTATGCCTCAATTCTTAGTGTTTCATCGAAACTTTCAGTAAGATCATTTAGCTTTTAACCTGCTTGGTATAAGGTCATATAAAAATGGTCTTTACTAATGAGTGTAATATTATATAGAATAAATTGTGTATTACATCTACGCTATCAAGTACATGATTTCCCTTAGTTTTTTTTTTTTACTGCCAATCATTACCATCTCTTTAGAAGGTAATCAGTGGAAATGAAAATCAATGTAGAAAAAACATGTTTTGAACAAGCACATCTCTTTAGATGGTAATCATTACCATCTCTTTAGATGGTAGTCATTCACATCTCTTTAGATGGTAGTCAGTAGTCATTCACATGAAATTTTCCTTGACAATTTAGTTACTCACTACCAATTTCTCAACTTATGACCTTGTACTGAACAAGCACATTAGTATTCTTACATTTGCCCATCTATATGAAAGCATGCATTTATAGTTTAAACAATGCTCATAGCATGTTCGATGAGATTCATCACTTAAGTTATTTTGCCTGACATTGTAATAATGAAAATTCTTATGCTTCTTTATTATCAGATACGTCTACAGCTGGAAACTCTTTTAGCTGAGAAGGCTCGTCTAGCCCATGAAAACTCTGTATATGCACGTGAAAATCGGTTTCTCAGAGAGATTGTTGAATACCACCAACTGACAATGCAAGATGTTGTCTATTTGGATGAAGGTGCTGAAGAAGTCACAGAAGTTTACCCATTCTCTATTGATGAGGCCAAGGTGCTGTCGAGTACCCCAACATCACCAATATCCCCAAGTTTTCTTCCAGAAGTTTCTTCCCTTGACTTTCCAGAGGACCACACAAAGGAAATTCCTAAAGAGGTATCTGACATCACTTCATCATTACTCATATCTCCATCTTCACCTCCTAAGATTTGCCCTACCAACTACTCACCCGAAAGGACAGAATCCTCAGAAGTTCCAACTTCACAATTAGTGGTGTCTGATGGAGAAATAAAAGTTTCCTGTTATGGTGAACCACAAATTGCTACAGATGAAGCTCTCCACAGACCTCCGGCTTCATCTCCTTAATAATAAACTGCCCCGTTCTGTCACGATGCCTTTGGGTAGCCAATAGGCCATAGCTGTTGCACTTTTTGCTATTATTGTCCCTACCCCTTTTCATTTTTTTCTTGATCAATTCTTTTGGGAGGTATTGCCTGGGTCAACAATTTCCCACTTTGTTAAATAATGTATCTAATCTTATTTTGGCTTATATAATGCTCTCCAACATGGCTAGAACTCTTCAGTTTTTGTAAGGGAGAAGTTCAAAAGCTTGATTATAATTTTGCACAGCTTGTTTAAAGCTTTCTCGGTTTCTCCTGTCTCCTCTAGTTGAGTTGAATGGAAACTAAACCCCTCTGACCTTTTTGGTATTTTTATCGTGTTTTTTGTATTTCATGGAAGCAACTTTTTTGACAATTTCCTCTAGTAATTGGTACAATTGTAAAACTAATAGCTACAATGGTGCATTGTTGTTTTAGCATTATCTTCGGCAACTTGAAAAAACTTGCTTGACCACTGAAAGGTGTGGTTGTAAGAAAACAAGCAGACTTGCTCAACTCTATTTAATGAAATTGGTGTGTTGATTGATGTGCATGTAACTTAACTCTATTTACTCACCATTGGAGAACATAAGCCTAATTTTAATTTGGCAAGTTAAGCTACATGCACAATTTTTTGAAACCATTGGAGCCCTAACAGTCAACCATAGTTAAAACTTAAATGTAGAGCGAAAAAACAATGGAAAATTCAATTTGCAACATTTTTATTTGGTAGGATAATGATATTTTGAACCACGTTTCTTATAAAAATTCTGCTGCATAGTACATTACATTGCATCACTTTCCAATCACAATTACACAATACAGGATTAAATATAATACCTTTTTACACATTATCGCAAATATTCCCGTATCTACATCCATTTTCAATATTTTCTGTACTCATGCAAGTCATGCCTGTCTATGTGTATACACCACAATGTCAAGCATTAAACAATAAACACTAGATGTTAGCACAGCAAAGCCAGTTTAGTCTGCACCACACTATCTGCAATAGTCAGTGCATACCTTGAACAGGTAATAAGGATTGTTACAATAAATTGCCAACTCTTGTTAAACCACTGAAGAAAATCAATGAAGAGGTAACTTTTCAGCAACAAAGTGACAGGATGCACAATAATGTTTCCTTCAGAAAACTTCCATTACTGGAGATTGCACAGTTGTATACAATGTTTTAATGTACGCGTTCTCTATAAATTTACGAGCTAACTTAGTTACAAGTAGATGTTTTTAATATAACATATAAACAGACCCTGTCGAGTTATGTGTCAATCAGTGGCTTAGATTCTTGTAGCCAACAACCAGCAGTGCAGCTTAAATGTAGTTTCTTTGGTTCTGAATGAATCATGGAAGTGCTTGATTATTGGCTTTTCAATAAAGGAAGGATTCAAGGAAGAAAAACTCCTTGCTCAGAATAACTGAAAAAACAGACTAGTTGATCCATCACCAAATGATTTGAGATCTGCAGGCTTCACCAAAGCCCTACATAGAGGACATGTTCTCTCCCTCTCAAACCTGAAAAAGGAACCAGATTAAAAACAAACTTGCACATCCACTGAACATTTCCCTAGTGTTATACTCTGCAAATTTTAAAAGTTTTTTCCTTTCTTTAACCCCCCACCCCCTCCCTCCTCAGCAAGTATATATCAGAGTAATAGCATATCAACCAAAGAAAATAATGGAAGATCAAGCCAATTGAGAAGTCAAAGAGGTCAATAAAACCTCAGTCTCTAACTAGCCAAGTTCTTTTGGAAAAACTACTTCCAAAAGGCCAGTAGAAAAAGCATTCTCGAAAGACTTAAAAAATAAACTATATGTAGAGATGCAATGGGCAGGCATAATTTCAAAATGGCATGATCAGCAATGAAGTAGATATAATAGCAAGAAGAACAAATAAACACCCATTGTTTATAAATAAAGTTGTTACACACAGACACAGACACACACACACACACACCAAGAACTAATGCTTGATGCTCAAACACCCAGATACTATACCCTTACATACAACAAGAAAAAAAAAAAAAAAAAAAAAAATATATATATATATATACTTTCTCTGTTCTTTTAATATTGCACCATAAGGGTTTGACACAAATTTTTTGGTAGTGGAAAAAAGGAGAGAAAGGTAAAAGTACAAATTTGTACATGTGATTGTAGACATAAACCATAAAATCAAGTGTTAAAAAGTAAGGGTATATAGGATATTTGTAGTGTAAACACAAATATTTATTTTCCTAAAATGGATATGGTGCAATATTTTTTAAACTTCCTTAAAAGGCAAGTGGTGCAATATTTAAAAAACGGAGGAAGTATTATACATGATGCAAAATGTTATTTGCTAAAATGTTGTAGTACGTTTCCCATCACATAGGTCAAGCACTTAAGCTCCATATCATTTGCTAAAATGTTGTTGTACGTTTCCCTATGCTTTAATATAAAAACAGATAAAGTATATCTTAATGGAACGGAACACTATGCTATAAGATATCAACATAGCTCATAGGATTTCCTGAAAATAAACGTTATTAAAGCATAGGGATTAAAGACCTTCCATAGCATTGATTAATCACGAGATTGATAATGGTAAACATATATGAATGAAGTTGAGCTTCAGAAAAAAGAATGGTTTGACAAGAGTCACGAATTAAATTACTACCAATATACACACAAAACCATAAGATCAAGGGGAAAGAACAGAATTTAAATGATGATATTGTTGGAATCACATTCATCTATACTTATTGGTAAGGGTAAAGTGAAATTACTAGCTCTTAACAGTTAAGTTAGGGGCTGTTATCTTCACCTAAAGAAGATATTATCTGCTAATAATAAGCTTATACAAGAAAAAATCAGTTTTGCTCTGCAAAAATCAGTTAATTAGTCAAAATCACTATTAATAAATAAAAATCAACTTTTTAAATCAAACCAAGTTTCAGTTAGTAATAAAAAGTTTAATCAGCATAAATAATCTCACTTTGGTAAAAAGCAGGTGTAGAGAACATGAATATAGGACCTGAAACTTTTTTAAAGGTGAAAAGGGTATGACCTTAATGTCCTAACCAATGATGAAATAAAAGATTTCAAAGTCCTTGTGAAAAAAAATTGGTCACCTATAAGCATCCTTATTTCTGTTTTTTACAGACAGAATCCTCAAAAGGTAACGGCAAGCCTGTTCTACAGTTGCAGTTTTATTAATACTGTTGCAACTTGAAAAGAAAGTCCTTTATAGCTACAATACTGCTACAATCTCAACTAACAATGAAAACCTTAATCGTAAGCAGATCAGTATGACATTTGTTACTGTCAAAATACTCACATAATACTTTTATGTTATCATGCATACAGCATTGAAGACCTTTATAGCTACAATACTGCTACAATCTCAACTAACAATGAAAACCTTAATCCTAAGCAGATCAGTATGACATTTGTTACTGTCAAAATACTCACATAATACTTTTATGTTATCATGCATACAGCATTGAAAACCTTTATAGCTACAATACTGCTACAATCTCAACTAACAATGAAAACCTTAATCGTAAGCACTGAAGGTCAGGGTCACACACATGTAAAAACCCAAGGCCAAGTCAAAAACAAAACTCATATCTGTCTATATATTATTGAATTATTGTGAATGCATAAATCCAAAAGAACAGAGGCAAAAGTACAATAAAACCAGTTGATGATGAAAACTTACCACTCTGACACACAACCTTCGCAAAAAATGTGTTTACAACGGAGTAGGATTGGAGCATGCATCTTCTCCTGACAAATAGCACACATATCTCCAGCAGCAGTGACCTACAGTGGAAGAATGCCAGTCAAAAATGCAAGGTCAAATATTCAAGGGAAAGCAATCCTCTCACATATCACCTTTTATTACAGTCCAGGTTTAGTTCACAAGGGTTGAGGTGGGATGTGTTAAAGTAGTTAATCATGTATACAGTTAGGGGTGAGCATAATAGGGTACCCTCTTATAAATCCTAGAACTGGAACCTGTTGCAACAGGTTCCTTAAATTGGGAACCGGAACCGGAACCTGTTGAACAAGACCCTAGAAATTGGGAACCTGTTGAACAGGACCCTGGAAATTGGAAACCGGAACCTAGTTCCGATTCAAGGTACCCTGTCTTGTAATATACTTAGTAATTTTTTGCAGAAATTTTTATAAAAAAACCAGATAGTCACTAATTTATAATGTTTATAACTCGCAAATAAAACAAACTAATAGTAATTGTTGAGCAAAGTTAATACATATATTTATAATTGTAGTTTTGATATTTATTAATTAAAAAAATAGGTTAGAATTGGTGTATAATTTGAACTAAAGTGATACTTTTATCAGGTTACAAGGTACCCTAGAGGGTCAAAAAAATTGAAAACCTGAACCGGAACCTGTTGCAACAGGTTCTCCATTCTGCTACCCGGAAGAGGAACCTCTTCTACAGAATCCGGGCGGTTCCTATCAGGTCCCGGTTCCAATTCAGGGTACCTTGATTTTTTGCTCACCCCTAGTTATACATCATGATACATTACAAGATAAATTAAGAGAATTAGATGGACACGGTGAAGCACTTCCTTAGAAGTTAAATACAAAGCTTATTGATCGTCAAACACAATTCCTTCAAGCAAGTTCCACTTCAATAAAATGAAGTTTACAATACAGTTTGCACATTTAACTTCTCACATCCGGCCAACATCTTAGAGGTATACCCTGCATTACAGCCTTCCTTAGAACCTGAATTTTTAAGATTTGCATAGCGCTACAAGCCTAGAAGCATAGAGCAAGCAAAGGGGCGCCAACTAGCCCAACAGACACAATCAACAGGGTTTTCATTCTATCCCCCAGCCCTCTCTTAAAAAAAAGATATCTTGTTGAACATAGATGTAGAGATCAAAACGAGTATCTGAACCAGAAACATTGCAAAAAAAAAAAAAGTTTATGGTGTATAAAGACAAGGGAACATGATCTTTGGAGAAGACTATTTGCAGTGACCAAGGAGGCTTAAAATTGCTATATAAATAATAGATACTGGTTTAATTTCAATTTATATGGTCAGTCAGGGCTAAGAAGATAAAACTTCTGTGAAAAAATGCAATGCTGCCAATCCTGTGGAGCATATGGCTGGAAAGATATGGTGTATATGCAGTTTCTTTTGAAAATAGACAGCTGAATTACCTGCTCTGAAGTTGCATAAGCTCCGTAGTGGATCTCTTTACGCGACAATGCCTTAACTGACGCAAAGAATGATTGCACCTGTAAGTCAGCAAAAAAGCATGAGAGACACTCCAAGGACAATTTCAAGCACATAAAAAGCATTACAACAAAAGACAGACCTTTTCAACAACAGAAGTGAGCTTAAAAGTCAAATACAACCCAGTCATTAGAGATGAAAAGAGGCTTCCATATTCCTTGTTCAGGAAGAACCTATACCAAACTGGAGTTGGCAACAGTGCACGATACAGTAGCAAAAGATACTCAACCAAAGTCAGCATTTGCCCCTGGAAAGAAAGCACATAGCAATCAGAAACCTAGATGCAGCAAACATAAAAGAATGCAAATAAAGCTACTAAAAAACTTTTAAATGTGGAAGACCATAAACAAGTATAAGTGACATCCCACCTGCCTACGATAATTTCTTCCTCTGCTATTTTTGTAATATATGAGTAGAATGCACTTGGCGACCATAGCTGCCTGGCGGACGAGGGTGTCTGAAAGAATAGAATGCACATTATTTCCCCACCATAATCAGAGCTCACAAGTTCAAAAATGCCACCAAAACCAATAACACAATTAAAACCAGAAGATACAAAAGGCCAGCCAAAAGGAGCCCCCTGCAAGGAATAAATATTTAGAGGAGGGCATGTTAGTCATAGTCTATTAGTAGTAACTTGGGGAATAAGTTAGAGGTTTGTTAGGAGGGGGATTTTCTATAAATAGGTCTCATTAGGAAGAATAAGAATATGTTGAATATTGTGAGGTTTGTTATTGGGAGAGAGTGAGCCTCTCGAAAGCTCATACTTGGAGAGAATCCACCTCTCAAAAGTGGAATTATCATTAGATTTAGTGTAATTCTCATCTTATCAATATAATCACCATTTTTCTTCTTATTTTCTGCCATTTTTAGTGCTGTAACCATGTCAGTTCCTAGCACCCCCTTGCCAAGTCAATTCTATTTTGCTTTCAACAAAAGTTTGTGACAGTGTATCCTAAATCTCTCATTATGTACGCCTGAACTAAGTCGTAGTTATTGGCTCAATCAAATCACTATGGCGCACAACCAAGAGTGATCAAGTTGGCATATCAAACCCAAAGAAGTTAATTGTCAATAATTAGCAGATCAATATAGAGAGGAACAACAACTAAGGAAAATTCAGATATAGGGTTTGAGTAGAAAATCCTAAATCTCTTAAATTAAAACCAATTTTGTTGCAATACTAGGGCTCTTGTAGAAGTAGACAAAAAAATTGGTATGACCATTATCATTTAGCTAATCGCCTCATTGGTAATAATCTCTGGAAACGATAAGACTTGATCATAAAGCTGCTCCTGTCACAACTCTGTTTGATTATATTATTCTATTCTATTTCCCCTCTTTTAATTTTTAAGAAAGATATATTATCTCCATTCTTAAAAGATCTTTATGCTTTCAGTTTTAGTATGTTTAGTATGTTCCTAGAGGTTCTTTACTTTATTCAATTTTCAGCAAAACCCCATTGACTACCTTACCCCCTTATCCCACAATATTTACACAATTTCACCCAGTCTCTTACGTTTTTCACCTTTTTACTTACACCAATGATCAATCTACCTTTTTACACTCTCTTTTGTTTTATCCACATATGTCTTGCACTCCCTCAACACACCAACATCTCTCTCTCTCTCTCTCTCTCTCTCTCTCACACACACACACACACTTTTGGGAACAAAAATAAAATAAATGGCAGCAAATTGTTCTCCGGCAGATTATTATATATTCAAGTAAGATATTGTTGTGTTCAAGGTATATACAAAAGTGAGCCTCCTAATTCTTTTCTTCCTTAAAATCATACATTGGAAACTACTAGCCACCCGTGTTAATAAAATTACCACAAATTACAATCTTAACAAGTGTATCGAACAATACACCTTAAGAGCCACAGCAAATATCACCAAGGGAATTGCATTCCCACACTTGGTCCACATACTGGGACATACTGAAAACTGCGTAAAACTAACATATAAGAATTGCAACTCTACCAAGTTGCTTCTTGGGAGACAACAAAGCTTAAGCAACCAACATCACTTGGATGTAAGGCACTTGCAAAAATCAATCCTTCAGGAACAATTTCAACAGAAATTATCAGATTTTTATCAATGGCCCCCAGAAAACTAACAAATTAGAGGCTTTAGGCAGCCAAAATCATTAATAATCACAGATCATCGATCAAGATGCATGTAGCTAATATATGCACTGAAAGAACACGAACAAAATTACAAACTGATCAGAATTTCAAGGTAAGTTGTCAGACAAGAGTTACCTAATCCGTTAAGCATATCACTGTGTCAAATTGACAAATAAAGTGTAATACAAGTATAATAAAAACATACACTTTTAACACATTTAACCAAAAAAAACCTAATTAGCATTTAAAAAAAAAAAACATTTTAAAGTATCAAAGATGCAAGAACAAATAAGGGTTAGCACACACCGTTGACCATGATGATAAAAACAGCATGCCAGAAGGGAGGTATCTCTTTTGGAGGTATCATAATCAATGGATAGAGAAGGTCATCATTTCTGTACCACCAGTAAACACCGGCAACATGAAGTGTGAACAAAATACAGATGCCAACCAGAATAGGAATCTTCCTCTCTCCCTGTATCAGCAAAAATTAACATCATATATAACATTGAGTAGCAAGCATAAGCCAGGCATGTCAACAAATATCAAAAAAATTCAAGTACCTTAAGAGCAGTTTGTTTACGCATGATGTCATTAGACTTGAACATAAAAACAGCAATCCAAATTGTAACAAAAAAACCTGCATTCCACACAAAAGTTGAGCAACATACATCAATATACAAAATGTGAGCAATGCAACCCTTTCAAGCACAAAGCACTGTAATAAACAGCATATTCAACTAAATATTCCTACTATTTAACAGTCATGAAGAAAAAGAGTAATTTAGATAAGAGTTACTAAGATCTAGACAAACAAAGAGGTACTAAAAACAAACACTAACATTAGACATTGTAATCAAGAAAGCTATTGTTGAAACTAAGGCATCTAGAAAATTGACAAATATGATAATGCTGACCACGGCACTAAGTCACTATAACCATCGTACATTCGTACTATTCACAAGTAGAGAGAGTTTGAATGTGTCAGTACAAAGCACAAAGGACGACCAAAAAAAAAAAGAGAGCATGATAAACCATTTTAATATTTTATGCATAAAGCACGCTGCATTTGCATTCTTGAAAGGCTTTCTGCCCAAATTAGGAGTATGCTAAGTGGAAACCATAGTAATAGTTGATAAATCAAAAGACTGGTAGTTGTATTAGGCAGAGCAAGAAAAGGAAATGATTATACCTTGCAGATGTTGGCGGATAAAGACAACGAGTAGGAGCAACGAAAAAGGAAGAACCTGCTCGATCCATCGGGCAGCCTGTTGAATGTCATACCTCTGATAAGTAGCATCCCGATTGTTGGCAGCAGCGCCATCAGCGGCTTCAGCATCCGTAGAGGAGCTAGAGAACTGAGTGTCAGCAGCCCTGGAGGAGTCCTCCTGGGCATCCAACACGGTGGAAGAAACAGGCACGGACAGAGACTGATCAGTAGGGCATGGTTGAAGTTGCACCCCTGTAGAGGTTGTAGTAGAAGGGTCAAGTCGGTCGTGATCGTGTTCAGAGGCACCAATAATCCTAATGGAGACCTCACCGCCATTAGACGAAGAATCATGAATATGGGGAGAGGAGGTGGGAGGGATGAGAGAATCGGATTCGTGGGTGGCGGTGGAGCGGGGCCGTAATAGACCGGAATACTCTAATAGAGCAGAGACTGGGGAACGTATGAAATTGGAAGCAGACAAATGCAGCCTATAACGCCTAGAATTGGAATTAGCGGAGCTTCCTCTTTCTCTATCTCTATCCCTATCTCCATCTCCATCTCTATCTCTATCTCTATCTCTGTGTCCGTCGGAACTTCCACCAGTTGCTTCCATTCTTGCCGATGATCCTCGAACCCTAACCCTAACCCTAAACAAACCCCAGAAAATCAAAATTAAAATCAAAATAAAAATACAAAATTGGGAATTGCAATTGTAATTGTAAAGAAAGAAAGAAAAGGGAGAATGAAGAAGAAGAAGAAACCTGCGATAGGGAAACTCCGTTGGGCGACTGAAAAGAGAGAGGGATCGTCGTTGACAATTCAATTCCGAAGTCCAACAAAATCACAAGTCACAAATGGTTATATTATTATTCTTATTGGGTATACCAAAATCAGATAATTAATGAATTGAAATTGAAATTCATGGGAAATGAAAGAAAAGGAGAGGTTGTTCTAGGGTTTATAGAGAAACTGGAAGAAAAGGAGAAATATCAAAAACAAAATCAGAATGGATCGATTGAATTGATATAGGTTGGTAAGATAAGAATAAGAAAAATGAAAAGAAGGAACAAGTGAAGAAATAATAAATTGGAAACGGAAAAATGAAAAATAAAAGCAGCTTCGACTCTCTTTCTTTCTCGCTCCTGTAAGAGAGAGAGATAGAGAGAAAGAGTTGGAAGATGAACAATTACAACTACAATCACTCAAATTATTTACCCAGATTATTTTTTAAATGAAAATCCCTGAAAATATGATGCTAAAACCATATTTTGTTTTTTCTCTTTTACAATTTAAATTTTAAAAGGCTGATTTCTATGTCTGTCTATATATCTAGCCGCTAATCTGCGGACCAAATCCAATCAGGACTGCGCAATCCTAAATGTTGGTCAAACTTAAGCCACTACTATATTTATTACTTCCTTTTTTTTTTTTTTTTTTTTTTTAAAGGAAAAATTGCCGGGAATAATTTCAGTTTTGAAGCGTCCGCGAAAAATAATCTCATCTTTGGGATATTTTTAAATAATCGCACCTTTATACCTTATCCGCTCCCAATGGTCCCAGATGACCGGTTACCTGTTAAAATGGTAATTTTTTTTTTTGGCTTTAGAGTACATGTGTCACCATACAATTTGTCTAAAATTTAAATTTAAATTTAAATTTTTTTTTTTAAAAAAAAAAGGCAGTCAGCCAACCACCTCTTCCACCAGCCCCCGCCACCGCAATACACATCGGAGCAACCCATCATATCGGAGCTCGCAATTCGGCGATCATCCATGGCTGCAATTCGGCGATCAACCGTGGCTGGCTGGGGTTGCAACCATCAGATTGAGGAAAGGGGAGGGAGGTTACAAAACAGATCGGAGCAACCATCAAATCGAGGAAAGGGAAGGGAGGCCGGGATCGGGATAGGGGAAGGGGGCGTCGGCGTTGGGATAGGCAATCTGGGTGGTCGGCGATGTGGGGTAAGGGACTCCGGTAGCAATGCCGGCGAGAATGGGTGCTGGGGCTGGTGGGTGGTTTTTTCAATTATTCAATTTTTTTTTTCTTAGAAAAATTAAACTTTTTTTAAAAAAGAAATTTTTTATTGTTTTTGACCAATCACAGGCCGACCGTGTCTGGTAACTTGTTATAACAAGTTACATGACCAGTTGGGACCATTAGGAGCAGATTGGGTATATATAAAGGTGGGATTATTTAAAAATATCCCAAAAGTGGGATTATTTTTCGTGGACGCCCCGAAGGTGGGATTATTCCCAACAATTTTTCCTTTTTTTATTTAATTTTAACAATTTCACAATTTATATTGTCAAACTCCTCAAAGCAACCAACCTCCCCATTTTAATTTCAAATAAGGAAAATGTTATACATAACCCTTAGGACTACATATAAGCATTAAATACACACTAGAAAATTGTATAAATTTAGGAAATCATAAATATATACACACAAATTACACTAATTTACGCGTATTTTTGTCTTGAATTTCTAATTTTATACAATTTTCAAGAGTGTATTTAATGCTTATATATGGGCAATATAGCCCTAAGGGCTACATATAACATTACCCTTCAAATAATACTAAAAAAATTAACAAACCTTCTACCAATTCTAGGGAATTAATTTACATTTAAGCAATTTTCAGGGAAATCATTCACTTTAATATAGGCTTATAGATTTGTGTTTACAAACTTATTATCGTTTTAGATATGATTCAATTTAAGTTATGTTCACAAATATTTATTAATCTCATAAATGATAAGATTAAACTACATCAGGTTAATAAACTTCCTCCGTGTTTTTAATATCGCATCACTTGCCTTTTAAGGAAGTTTCACAAATATTGAATCACTTTCATTTTAGGACAAAAAATATCTATGTTCACACTGCAAATACCCAACATACCATTACTTTTTATTTTATCTTTATATTACATGGACAATTTTGTATTTTTACGTTTCTCTCTCTTACTTTTTTCCATTACCAAATTTTGCCTCCAAAACCCATATGATGCAATAAAAAAAACGGAGGAAAAATTATTTATATTTATTTATGCTAAAAATATCTTTATTAAGGCAACTAAAAAATTATGAAAATTTCACATTTGAATGATATAAAATACGAGTAATACAAATCTAATGACATATCATTTGATAATATTTATCATTAAAAATTAGTGAGCAAATAATGTCAAATGTGAAACTATCGATGAATTTAATAAGAGTATAGTACTGCACATGACATTTAATTTCTTAGAAATAATATCTAATTATGAAAAAAGCTTAGTCATTAAATCATTTTCAAAGATCAGCTCTATCTTTATAATTTAAAAACTCTGAACAACTTATTCCAAGTCAAGGGACCATATCCTTCATCTTCCTCAACTTTCGTTTCACACTCTCTTTCAAAATAAAAAACTGATTGTATTCCCATGTAAAGTAAGGTAAATAGCATGACTGGTTTTTAGCCATAAACAGTATTTTGCTGATGTAAATAATAAGTACTCGTACTCCGTAACTATATGATCAATATGAAACTGTTTTGATGGTTGAAATTGAATACATGTAGCGATGCTGAACACCATTAACTGGCTTCTAGCCAGGACCCATTGTGTTTTGACTACTAATATTAAAAGAAGATTTCATTTAAGCCAAAATATAAATTACACAATCTTACTCCAAACATAAAGAGATTGCTTCCAATCAACCCTGTCACTTTCATTCATGGCATGACTGAAAGGAAGTCGCCATTTCAAGAGTTTAACATGCTCTAACTTATGGTTTGCCCACACGACTAGAATAAAACAGATGTACATTCTGATCAACTTTTATGAATTTGAGTAAGGAACCGTGACTAAAGTGTTGAAGGCCTGATGCATCAAACTGTAATAAGCAAGCACTAGCCAAACGTGTTATTTCCTAGGGCACAAGACTACAATTGCTTCTGCATTAAACCTGCTATTACGACAGAAAATAGAACAAGCATACTTTCCCAAGTTGAAACCAATTCCACGACAATGATTCTCATGTGAGAAAACTTATCTGTCAATTATATAACATACCCAAAAAAAAACCTCAGATTTGATAACAAAGAAATTTGAAAGCCCAAACAATAATTAAAGCACACAATTCTTGCTGACATATTCAAATATCAAATTGGTTTCTCCACCAGTTTGCCTGATCAATACATACATACGTCAAAGAAAAAACAACAGTAGTAAGGACAGGAGTTGTTGGTGAATATACTAATCTCATGGTTGGCTTTTCAAAACCATGACTGCTCAATTTATTGCTTCAAGTCCCCAACTAAAGCATCCTGCAGATATGTAACAACAGTAGATATACATAAGTAAACTGTCTGCTATAAGCTCAGCCATACATGAACCAAAGAATGGGTTTGACAAGCTATGTGAGAATAGCAACCTAGTGTCCCCTTCTAAGCAGCATAATAACACAGGACATTAAAATGTTGAAAAGCAGGCAAGACACAAAAGCTTGAAGTTTCAACCCAATCGTTCCAAATCAAGGCCTAAATTGAGTTGGCAAAAGGCAGAAAAAGATCTACATATATTTGTACGAGTCTGTTTACACTCTCATCGTTTCACATTGCATTCTAACAGATTATTACAATTATGAATTAAAAATTGTTAGATCTTTTAAGGCTCATGTCAAAGTATTTGTTGTGCCATCTGCAGGTTGAAACCCCTATCACAAATATCTCACACAGCAGAAGCGTACACATGATGACAAACCAAAGAATAGATGGATAATACAAAAATAAATTTGCATTTTGTATTCCTTTTGTTACTCTCCCTTATTGCATATGTACAAGTCTTTGAATAAAGCGTGCAAATAAGGTACGTAGACAGAGATAGAGAGATGTTAAACCACAGGTAACCCATTTTCTAACAAAAGATTTCCCATACAATTTAGCCTACTTCCAACAAGTTTCAAAGTTCTATCTTAAGTCTACAATACTAAACATAGCCCACAAAACAGAAAGTCTACAATACTAAACATAGCCCCCAAAATAGTAAAATAACGATACCAATAATAATAATCATCGTTAATTTTGCAAAAAACATAAAATAAAATAAAATAAAATAAAATAAATAACAAAAAATCAACCATTAATATATTTCAATGGATTAGATTCAATTCAACAACCAGAATCCTTTTGCCTATACGCTTCATATTCGTCTATCAATGCTTCAATTTGCAAGTCTAGTGTTTCCATGTAAACCCTATATCTCACTATAATATTTTCTCTAGCATGTGATTTAATTGGTGGATTACCAAATTTGTTAATCTGCGTTGTGGCCTACAACAATCTGGACCATGTTTATTAAGCTACTTGGAACACACAACCCAACTCACAGAGGTGTGATCCCAGATACACAAAGCTCAATAATACACAGAAGGGCATAAATTACACTATATTTAGATAACAATAGTGATGGGGATAGGGAAGGGAAGGGAAGGAAAAAAAGGGAAGAGGGAAAGAGTGAGCATTCATTTTCCTTCCAATTCTCCAACGGAGGAAATCAGTTAATTTAAAGGAAAAAGTAAATGAATCCCCCCCTTTCCTATCACTTGCCCGGTGTCTTATCCAAATAAGAGATAATGTATCCCTCACTTTCCCTTCTCTTCCTTTTCCCCCAAATCCTATCTAATCATAGTGTTAGCAGAGGTTACAATTTCAAAGAATTCACTAAATAAAATTACCATTACCACCTTTACCATCCAAAACCAGCCACACCCTACCCAAAACCACCCCCCATCCTCTCAAAACCCACCCCACCCCCTTAAAAACCCACCAAAAAAAAACCAAATACCATCCAATAACCCACAACCCTAATAATTTTTTTAAAAAAATAAGAGAAAGAGATATTAAAAATGATAAATTACCTTTTTTTTATCTTCAATTATGGCTTCAAAAGGTCAAATTTGACCATTAAAACCTTGAATTTGAGCTTCAATGGCGGTGATGAAACAAAAGGAAAAGGAGAGAGAAAGGGCTGCAATGGTCGTTAGGTGAAGGGGGCACCAGCAGTGGGGAGGCGGCTAGTGAAGGGGGCGGCAGTAGTGGAAGGCAGCAAGGAAAAGTGGTGGCAACATATAAACGAGGAATAAGGTGCTGGTGCAATGGTGTAAGAGAGAGAGTGGAAAGCAAAGCCCTTTGATTTAGGTTGATGATAATATTTGGTCATTCACCTTCACCATTGTACCACGAAAATGAGAGAGTTAGTGGAAAGGGAGTCCCTTTTT